TTTAAGATTACACATCGTTATAAAACCATTAATAAAAAATAGACTCAATAAATTCTTTATCACGTTGAAGCGTAACTCTTTTAAAATTTCTTCGCAAATTTGGCGCTTGTCAAAAGAACCGGCTGGCCGTATAGATGATTTTGGAAATTTTTTGAACGGTTTCGCTAATTAAAAGTCCACGCTTGCTTCGATGGTCCTGAATATTGAATGAATTCAATTTGTCTTGAAAATTGTGAAATACTACATTTTGTACAAGGTCTGTATGATAAAAACAGCGCCTCATAGTACTCTTTCTCCTCAGATGTGGTGTATATAAAAAAAAATAAAAAATAAAAGATTGGTTTGCACGCACCCAGATTTATTGGCAAGAATTTGTAAACTTGTCGAACGCAAAAAATTCGACCTGATTTGTTTTCCAAGAATTTGTTTTCCACGCCTTATCTTCTGTGATCAAGAGCCATTATTGCTCTTAAATGTGACTCAAGACTATTTTTTGGGTGTACATATAAGGCTATATCAACTCGATACAAGATTTGTTTCACTCCAAAATCACTTAGCTTTTCCCTCAAAAGTCACATGGATGTGCCCTTAAGTTAACTGATTTGTGGAATACAAAATTATTGTTTGATTTAAGTTATAAATTTATCAATGGAAGCTTCGCTTTTAGCCGTGGCTAAATCTATATTATTTACATTTACATTTACTCGCAAAACGTTTCAAGTTATTCACTTTCATTCTAGTCCAGCCGCCGGGTAACAGATCAGAGAACAAGTCTTCCGATCCTTTACATCAAGCTATCATCTGCAATGGGATTTACTTGGCTGCTGGGATTTATTGTTTCGTTTGCAGATGTGGAGTTCATCACTTACTTGTTTGTGATTTGCAACAGCCTGCAAGGTCAGTTCGCAAACTAAATGGCTGTACTTATGTGGGAGGAATAAGTGAAGCAGCTTGAGTCAGAGTAAACGAGGGCGGTTCAAGATTATCAACTAAGCCATAGCTAGTCCTTGCAGTTGATGGCTCTAAATTTATTTGAGGATGTAATAAAGATAAAGCATCTCAAATGGCACAAGGATAGGAATTACGCTGTACAGTAAAAACCCCCAACTAAGAACCTAAAAATTAAGAACCAGTTAGCCTAAAATTAGTCATTTATACCCCCTATAAACAAGAACCTATTTAGCCTAAAAAATTTAAAACAGGTTCTTATTTTCTAAAATCATACTACTACATTTATACAGCAGCATTGCAAGAATCATATTTGAAGCAAAAAAAGCAGATTGCCATTGTTGTAAAAATGATTTTGGGCCCTGTTCTGAATATTATCCTGAATATTATTGTTACAGTTAAAGCTTTTTACAGCTCGGCAAAGCATATAAATACATGTAAATGAATAAATTGATATATTATTATTTTTTTTTTTTTTTTTTTGGGGGGGGGGGGGGGTAGGGGGATAGGGTGGGGCTGAAGAAAATAAAAGTATAGGCTAATGACCAACTTGTTCGCAGCTGTGTTTTAATTGATTTTCTCCAGGCTAGGATTAAGAACCCATTTTAAGAACCTAAATAGCCTAAAATTCTGTTAACTACCATTTATATAAGATTCTGTTTAGGCTAACTCCTAAAAATGTAGGTTCTTAGTTCCGGGTTTTTACTGTGCTCTTTCTTATTCGTTAAAAAAATGAAGTTCCTCACAGATTTGCATTTCTAGAGAATACCTATAACTGACTGACTCTTACTGTGATTTATTACCTTTCAGGGTTCTTCATTTTTCTTGCTTTTGTAGCAAATAAAAGGACACTAAATAGAGTGAAAGGTGCCTGGGAGTTGCGATTCTATCCAGCTAATGGATCGGCAAACTCTACCTCAACTACTGACAAGCAGAGGACTGACGCAAAAAATGTGGACGAACAACAGGTTACAACAGCATTGTAAAGGAAAGTAAGAAAGGGTATCCTGCTCTTCTGCTGTAAACAGCGTCACCTACACAACGTTGATTACAAATTTTGCGGCTTGTAATAATAATAATAATAATAATAATAATGGCCTCTATCAGAGTTAAGAGATGTGGACAGAGCAGCTCGGAAGATCATAGTTGAGAACGGTGGCAAGCACCCAGCTAGCCTGACTTCTTTGTTATATCTACCGAGGGAGAAAGGGGGTAGAGGCCTGCGATCAGTCGAACACGAGTACAAGATCACTAAAATCAAATCGCTACTGAAATTGTATCAGAACCCGGACCAGACTGTGGAAGCAGTTAGAGAATTTGAAGAACACGCCATGGCATCAGGCCACCAGTCGCTCGTAAAGGAAGAAGCTAAGTACGCTGAAGAACTCAACATCACACTTCAGCTTGATACCCTAAATCCCGTGTGTGTTACAACAGAAAGAAGGGTGGTAACTGCAGCAAGAGCTGGGAATCTGTCGAAGCAATCTCAAGAGAAGCAGTTCTTGGAGATCGCTAAAGACAAAAAGTGGCAAGGAAAGTTATTCCGTATCAGATGGGAAGATGAGAGCCTAAGCATAACCAGCTGCTTTGCATGGTTAAAAGGTTGGGCTACATGCCCTACACATACCATCGCGGGCATGTATGAATTGTATGAGCAGTTGTTACCTACGAAGCTCTACACAAAGGAGAAGACGCAAACCTCCACCGACGGCGAAGTTCTATGCAGATTATGTGGGAAGGTAGCTGAGAGCGTTGCACATGTACTGGCTGGATGTTCCTCCCTGGCACAAACCAAGCACCTATACAGGCATAATGCAGCTTTGAAGATTCTGTTTTTTGAGCTCCTGCGAGAGCATGGGTTAATGGAAGAGGTTCCACCATGGTACTCACCGCTGAGGCCAAAACCAGCCTACCAGAACACCACGAGTGAGGCGTTTTGGGATATTCCCATCTATGCAGAGCACAACGAAGTTAGAGCAAATTGGATCGACGCGCGACTTGTCAACCACGAGAGGAAAGTAGTCTGCACAATTGAAATGAGCTGCCCATGGATTGAGAGTAGAGCTAAGAAAGATGAGGAAAAGACACTCGAGTATGGGCCCATGATGTGGGATCTGAAGCAGAGATACAATGGGTACAGGGTTGAACAGTACAAAGTAATAATTGACGTACTGGGGGGTTACTCTAAACACCTAGAGAAGTCGGTGAGGAAGCTACTTGGAGCGAGAGCACGGAACGTACTTGAGCGGATGCAGAAGTCGGTCATCTCAAACACTTTAAACATTGCCTGAACATTTAAGATAAATACTTAGTTAGGGCGCTATGGACTTCAATTTTTAAGTTTTTGTTTTTTCTCTAGAAATCTAGAAACACAAGTTTGCTGACGTTTTTACTTAGATTTTTTAGAACATTAGAGTGTGATATTATTATAAATATGTTTTTAGTAGAGATAGCGAAGGTTTTACAGAGTATCAGAATTTAATAATATTCTAAATTGGCTTTTTAAGTAGAGAGATTTATATCACTATGTATAAGCTTTTAGTAGAGATAGCGAAGGTTTTATAGAGTATCAGAATTTAATAATGTTCTAAATTGGCTTTTTAAGTAGAGATTCATATCACTATGTATTTTAGGATTGTATTAGGTTTCGCATCGACCTTTTTTTACTTCTAAGTATAGCTTCTCAAGTGGTGTAGGTTACGCCATGCGCCCTATACTACTGATAATGTGGACAGCATTCCAAAGTTTCATACTGCGACATAATAATAATGAAACAATGGAAAAAGAAATATAGTTGTTGCTACAACCAGTTCAGAAGTTGTTGAAAAATAAGTCACGCGGTATACCGATTATAGTTCATTGCGTTACAACCAGGGGCAAATAGTACCTCTAAATACCAAGAAAAGGAAAATTATGCTGTTTGAGACACTACAACCGAAACTTTAAGCTATGTCACGGTAGATAGCGCATGCGTTTGAGGCAAAATTTAAATGTCACTACTTCTTAAGCGCTTTTTTAGGCAGTTTGATATCAATGACAATGATGTATTGGGAAAAGCAACCCCCATTCTATTTATTTATGTCGCCTTCGTTTTGGGAATTTTGGAAATCGCTTGTTCAAAGTTAAATAGACAACCACAAGACACCATATTTTGGCAAAACTTGGCTTGGATCCCCCTCCACCCCTTATCAAAGGCAAACAACCCTCAAAACTTGGAGGAATAACTTTGAATGGGAGGGAGGAGGGAGCTCAGTATTATATTTTACAGACCTGTGAACAAGAGCGATTTGAAGCAAGAAAGGTCGTTTTTCCGTGGGAGTGTCTCATTTTTGCAACTGGTTGTCTGAGTCCTTCATACCCCTATAGCCGTGGTGCACGATTATTAAACAGGGTAAAACGTGGTGCACTCTTAGCACCTAAGGAGGCGGTTAAAAAAAACAGTATTTCATTTTTGTCGGTTTGCCTTTTTAAAAATGGCGAGACAAAAACGGCAGTTGTTGGCACTTTTCTTTATGTGGTAATATGCAAGACCTTGGGCTTTTAAAGGAAGCACGTGGCAAAAGATGCCACACCATCTTAAGTAAGCTGCAACGAAAGGGGTTTTTGGTCCTAAAACGCTACAGAGATGCGAAAAATAATATATTTTCTTCGAACTCGGTTAAAACATGTTTATTTATGGAAGGAAAGTGACGTAAGATGCCCCGCGAGATCAAGGAGATAGCTTTTTGTTGTTGTTTCCGATAAGTACGTAGACGTGGTTCCTCTTTTATCGCCTGCCATTTACAGGAAAGAAAAGTTACGCTAAAAAGCAGCTGTTGGCGACTTTACTTTACTTAACACAAGTTTGGATTTGTGTTTACTCTTTGGTCGTCTCACAACTTTGTTTCGATTTTGAAGCCCGAGTGTGGCTATAGGCATCAGATAATGAAAATTCACGTGCGTATTTCAGTAACATAGTCGCGAGAGCTCGCATATAACGTGGCTTTGTAGTTCTGTACTTGGTAAGAAAATTTATTTCTTTGCAAAACGGAAGACACTATCCCCAAGAAAAGCAATTTTCCAGCACAGCAATGTCAGGAATTTACGTGCTTCAACGGTCTACACGGTCTACACGGTCTACCATCATATGAGATAAATATCATAATATATTCTATTTCTTACTGTTGCAGAATGGTAGACCGTGGTGATGGTAGACCGTCAGAAAATAGAAATTAACATAGCACACAACTTTTTCTGCTCTCTAGCTCTAACGGACTTTAATAACCATCTTATTTTCACCGTAGTAGATGAAAAAAACTGAACGGTTTTACTTTAACAGCGATGTTGAAAAATAAGTCACGCGGTATACCGATTACATAACGCCATTGCATATCAAATGTCGTTGCGTTACAGATACAGGGGTGAAAAGGAAGGTTTGGCAGCTTTATTCGCCACTATAGTACCTCTAAATACCAAGAAAAGGAAAATTATGCTGTTATTATGCATTCGTGCTTCTCAGAGTTTAATTACAACGCCGAAACTTTAAGCTATGTCACGGTAGATAATAGCGCATGCGTTACAACAAAACTGAGGCAAAATTTACAAGTCACTACATTCTTAAGCGCTTTTTTAGGCAGTTTGATATCAATGATAATGATGTATCGGCTGGGAAAAGCAACACAAAGTGTCATTCTATTTATTTATGTCGCTATAGTCTTCGTTTTGGGAATTTAAGACGTGGGAATCGCTTGTTGAAGTAAACCTTAAATGAGACAACCAGTTGCAAAAGTACTTGAGACACTGTACCGTATTTTGGCATAAATGACCTGTCCATGATCTTGTGCTTGTGATCCCCCCTCCACCCCTTATCAAAGTTGCTAGCAATACAAGACCATACTCAAAACTTGGAGGAACAACTTTGAATGGGAGGGAGGAGGGAGCTCAGTATTATATTTTACAGACCTGTGACCAGGAGCGATTTGAAGCAAGAAAGGTCGTTTTTCCGTGGGAGTGTCTCATCATTTTTGCAACTGGCTGTAGCATTTGCGCCGCCAGGTAAGCAAAATTATTCGATAGGCGATGTTTTTAGTATTTGAAACTTTAAATATAACGTTCCTGGACATATTTGTTTCTCACAAAAGCGCTATTTTCAATTTATCCGCGCATTACTCAAACTGACATTCGACTTTAAGTCACAACTTTAATCAACGTTTGCGGTTTTCACAAAGTCACAAAGTTTTTCAGCTGCAGATTTTGCGAACCATTGTTGTAGCAAAATGTTTTAGCAGAAAATAAAAATAAAGAAATAAAAAATGAGAATTTTTCTGATAGCAACAAATTTCTTAGGCTTACTTAATACGTGTTGATTTCTTTTCATTAGGCCCTTTTCTTAATGTGTTTTTATAAAAAAAATGACAAGAATGCGTTTCCTGAAAATTTTCCAGGCATTCCTATATTGATTCGCTTATAGCGGAGCCTCCGCGCGCCCGTAGAAGCGCACGCCGCGGAGCCCCTGACTGTTCCATTCAGAACCTGATAGAAGAAAACATAAACTTATGGCGAATACAAAAATCGGCAAGATTTTTCTTTTAGGTTGACGATCTCGTTGCCATCGCCGTCGTCGTTGCTAAACCTCCCTAATAACAACGCCAAAAAGCAATAGGTTTGTTCAGCAAAAGAACCTCTTTGCAAGTGCATCACGCTTTTTTGCCCATTTCTTTGTGGTCACCGCATAACGTCGACGTGAAAATGCCTAATTGCACGTTTTATGGAGGACGTAGATGTTTTTTCTCAATACTTTTTTCTTTATCACCCAGCCCCCATAATTCAAAAGGAGGTCTATTTTTATTGGCTCAGAGTTTATTATATTTTAGTTAATTGCTTACATACATATAAGTATATAAACGGAGGCTTCGCTTTTAGTCCTGATTAAAGCTATATACTAGTAAGTAAGTAAGTAATAACTTTATTTAACCACGGAATCCTTATCACTAAAAAGTGGTCTTCTAAAGAGCCGTGCACATTAAACTAAGACTTAAAAATAACAAAGATTATTGAAAAAATCCTATAATAAATGCCTACTAAGAGAATCTTAATGTACAATAGCGGAATAAAAACAATTTAAAGTAGTGGCCTGCTTAGCCTCAGCTGACAGACTGTTCCATGTTACTGCGCCCCTATAACGAAAACTTTTCTTTAGGGCCTCAGTGTTCGGTCGCGGAATAAACAGGTTATGTTGCGCACCTCGAAGATTATGCCTGTGCATGGTATTAATGCTGGCGAATTTATCAGACAGGTATTCGGGTACAAGGTTATTTACAGTTTTAAACATTAAAGATTTCAGTTGCTTAGCACGTCTGTCAGCAAGGCTATCCCATTTACGGGCATGAAGAATCGGGGCAGAGCTGGCATTCCAGCTAGACCCCGTAATTATGCGTGCAGCCCTGTTTTGTAGTTTTTCTAGTTTTTGGCTGAGACTATTACCAATACAGCCCCAGACAGCGCTGCAATAATCGAGATGCTGAAGAATCAATGACTTGTAAATAGTGACAAGGGTACTCTGGGGATATATTGGTCTTAGCCTCCTTAGGGCAGCTAGTACTTTTGCGACTTTACCGACGACTTCGGAGATGTGATCCTCCCACGAGAGTGTTTCATCAACCTGAACACCTAGGCATTTGTAACGATTGACTCTTTCAATTGAATGCCCGTCGAGGGATATGTGGATTGCTAGGGAGCAAAGAGATTTTTTGCCTCGTGCCTGTAAACAGATATTTAGTCTTGAGGACATTAAGACTTAGACGGTTAGAATCGAGCCATTGCTTCAGATTGCCCAAATCATGAGTCAGGGATGAAAACAACTCATTAGGGTCTTTGGAGACAAAGGTGAAATTAGTGTCATAGGCGTACATTCTCACATCCGATAGAAGGTTACAGTTAGGGAAATCATTAATGTATAATAGAAATAATAGGTGGCCGAGGATTGAACCTTGAGGCACCCCACAACTTATGAAGCTAGTTTCGGAATTTACATTGTTTGTAACTGTAACCTGAGTTCTGTCTGAGAGGTAGTCTCGGAAAAGATTGAGACTAACACCTTTAATCCCATACAGTTCCAATTCTGACAGAAGGATCTCATGGTCAATAGTATCAAAAGCCTTTTTTAAGTCAATCAACAGAATAGTATTTGTCAAACCATCGTCGATATTGAGATACCAGTTGTCTGTCATGTCAATAAGAGCTGTAAAGGTAGAGTGCATAGGTCTAAGGCCAGACTGATATTTCGAAGGTAACTTATTATCATTTAAATATGAATAAACCTGATTAAAGATGGATTTTTCTAAGAGTTTGGCAATTACAGAAAGTACAGAAATTGGCCTGTAATTGGCTGGGTCAACTTTTGAGTCAGCTTTGAAAATTGGAGTTACTCTAGCACTCTTCCAGTCTTTGGGAATGATTCCCTTAGAAATAACTAAATTAAAAATATGTGTAAGGGAAGACGCAATGGATGGAAATGAAAGCTTTAAGAGGCAAGTTGGAATACCGTCGAGGCCATTAGCCTTGCCGACAGGAATATCATTCACAAGTTTGCGCAGTCCATCAATAGTCAGTAATTCGAGCTCGAAGGTGCTATCACACGGTTCTACAAAATCACGAAAACTGACTCGAGGGGAATTTATGTTCGCCGCTGAGTTAGGGGCAATATCGACAAAATGCCTGCTAAAAGCGTTGCTTAGCCCATGAGGGTCAGTTATCACCGTGTCACCAATAATCAATTTTGACACTGGAGCAAAGTGTTTCTTTCGCGATAATAATGTATTAATTCCATTCCAAGTCGCTTTAGCTTTCCCAACGTTATCCTCGAAGAACGAATGATAGTACTTCTTTTTGGAGGCCTTAATAGAGTGGTTAACACGATTCCTAAGTCTCCTGTACTCTGCCCATTTCAACTGATCACTGGTGGCAATTGCGATACGCTTTATTCTGTCTCTTTCCCACATCAATCGTTTGATCTCAGGGGTGAGCCAGGAAGCATTAGAGTTTCTAACTCTCCTTTTCTTGACAGGTGCATGAAGGTTGGCTACTGCTAGAAATGATTGTTTCCACACCTCCCATGCGCCAGTAGGGTTGTAGAGGTATAGATTGAAGGGGGTTGGGGGTATCAATCTGCTGAATTGTATCCCACCGAACCAGCGCCATGTCATTCACAAAGTCATCAGGCACAAAATTTTTATATTGTCTCGATTCAATGATTCGCGGGATCGACCTAGGACATGTTAATTTACGAGAGACATAGATCAAACTATGATCGCTGCAACCAATAGGAGATACACCTGATGTAGGAAATTAGACCGGCTCATTGGTAAGAAATAAGTCGATAAGTGATTTAGTACTTGAAGTGACGCGTGTAGGCTCCTTGATCAATTGAGTATATTGAAACAATTCACATAAACCGATAAACCGATAACTATATTGTTGTTGTTGTAGTTGATGTTGTTTAAATTGTTTTGTTTTGTTTGTTGTTGGTGTTGTTTTTTTTTTATATTTTTACATGGCAGGTATTTAGAGTCGCGGGCTGAGTGCTGAGGAAAGAGACAACGAGAGCCTTTCGTTGAGAGAATTGCATCAAGTCAACGTTTGGGATTTAAGTCTCTCGCTTTTTAGGAGTTTAACCAAAAACGCGTTGTAACTATAAAGATGCTTTTGAGCGATACACTTGGCAACCGGCAGTTGACATTTTGCAATATCTGGCAGTGGTGTAACCTATCTCCATGATTGTGCATGATTGGGGCAGTCGTCACTATTAAAACAAAGATATTAAACATTTACGAATTTGACAGCGTTGCTATATATTAAAAGGGAAAATGCCTCACTTCCGACTGACACGAGTCACTTGAAAACGTTTTTGATTCAACGTCTTATTATATCACATAAATCCTCTCAAATTCTGAGTTCCTCAAATGAAATGCGAGATTTCACCAGTTGCACGAGTCGTACGAGTAGTTGTACCACTTGACAAAGCCTTCCCCCTCACGACAACTTTGCTCACAAGGTGGCTCTATCGAGATGCAAGTTCACCAACGTCCATGCAAATGAGATGCAGTTTTACTATGTGATACGTCATACAATAAATATCCTCCATTTACCACTAAAATGAAATGAATGACAAAAGCTTTTACAGAAAAGGAGAAATTGCAATCTTATTAATAAATGCATTGCATTAGTTTTAGAGACAGCAATTTTTGTTATATTTCTTTAAGATAATTTTTGCTTTGTTTGTTTTGTTTGGCTCAATTTTTTAAGAAAGGTTCAGGGTTGAACAAAACAAAGAAACAAACAAAAATAGATTGCTCTACCGTTGTTCCTCTTGATGTGGATAATGAGTAATGATCGGTAATGTTTATTAGCCAATTAGGACATTAAAATTGAGGGGAAAAAAAGGAACACGAACAAGAACCAGAAGAAAAGAAGAAGAGGAAAAAGAAGAAGAAGAAGAAGAAGAAGAAGAAGAAGAAGAAGAAGAAGAAGAAGAAGAAGAAGAAGAAGAAGTAACTTCAAGTAGGATTGTTGTAATTATAACGACGAAACAATACAGCAAAGAACAAACGAAAACTATTGAGTTGAATATGATATGAATTAAAGGGACTGGTTCACGATAATGCGCATGCGCGCCGTTTGTCTCTTCAGAATAAATTTGTTGGGTCAACACTAAATTGGAAATCGCCATTACCGGTACAATCATTGAAAATCCTTCGTTTTATTCGGACATCCGTCGCTTTGGCTGGTCTAGTTATACTTCGGTAGTGGTGATTAACGTGTGGTTGTGTCGTTTGACTGGTTACGTTTTAAGAAGACGCAAAAAATAATGTTTTGATCATGGAGGTTGAGAAGAGCATCGTGGCCGTCCGGCAACAGGACGTTCTCAAGAGTCTCTGGAGATAGAGAAGCTTAGCCTATCGATCTGGTATGGTTCTAGGAGTAGTGTGTGGCATACGAAAAGAATACACGACACTTGGAAAGTGGTTAAAGGCATGAGTTCGTTCAACTTTGATTTGATTTTTGACTCCGACCTGTAGTTATACCGCAACAGGGCGCGCGATCTTCACCGATCTGGTAGACTTGAAGTGTTCCTTGTATCTTTGCTTTACGATCGTATATGTTTAAGAATTGATGTTTTTAAAATAAATTATTGCCTGAATATTCTGTTCATAATCTAGTTTCTTTATGTGTGCTACTCGATAACATTTGTTTTGCGGAACACTGACCCGATGCAACGCGAATGAATTTGTTCATTTGCTGATAAGCAATTGAAATTTATGCTCAATTAAGGATAATCTTTATACTCATACGTTGTGTGTTTTTGTCACCGGTCCGGCGCTATTTGTAGGTATTTCTGGGTTTATATAAGGCGAACTGAGAGAACAGTAATAAGATGTTTGTTTACAAATTTTGTTTGCCGATCGGTGACTGTTTTGTTAGCGTAGGTACGACCTCGTAAAAATACACGTTGGTAAATGTTTGTTTCAAAGCAGGACAGGGCTGTAAATCTTATTCTTATCGGCTGCAACATATATCTGAGGAGTAGCAAAGAATAAAAGTGAATTATGGGGATAAATAAAATCAAACCAAATGCCCGGAAATACTCCCGCGTCGCGAACAATTAATTTGAATTTTGTAAATTTACTTGCGTGCATCTAACACGCTTCCGATTGGTTGAAAAACAATCAGCTACTGTCAGAACTCACACATGCGCATTATCGTGAACCAGTCCCTTTAATAACATAGTGCTACGAAAACTCAGATGAATATATCCCCTCTTTATTTTTTTCCAATAAGGCCCGACTAGTGTTATCTGAAAGCATAGTATTACCTGAAAGCATCATAAGTCTTAAGGCCGTTGTATAGAAGAAGATTATAGAGGTCTAAAATCGTTTATCTTTTCATTAGACCAGCAGGAAGACCAGATTGGACTTAAAAGACCAATATAAATAAATAAACAAATAAACAAAAATAGTTAAATGAATTAAATTAAAACTTTCAGTTGAAATGCAATTTATGTTGTTATAATTTTTTGAGATTATGCTATCATCTCTTTAGGTTTGCACTCGTAGAGAAAGCTCGTGCTAACTTGTAGCGTCTATAACAATTAGAACGCGTATTTATTACGTCATGAATTGCAAAGTTCCACCTAGTAATTACCAATTTTCGCATAAGAGCTAATTTTTTTACAAATTGAGTTTAGCTGTATAATGATAAGCTCGTTTTAAAGAAAAAAACATATTATGCTTTGCCTCGTGAGTCAGTCGGCTTTGGGCGAATTAATGGGGAACTAATAATAAGAACACAGTTAAACACTTCCTACCAAGAAAATGTTTTTACCTTGACTATGAGCGATTTAACGAAAAAACAAACTGGGTACAAGACTCTGAGGAGGCGTTTGAAAGCAAGACAAAGGGCAATCAAGGTAATCAAAACAATTCCTTAAGATCTGAAGTTTATTTGAGGTAGCTGATTATGATATTTGTTTCAATTAATTCGTGTTTGATTTGTCGCAGTAATTCGTTAGAATTCAATTGAAGTTTATGACTAAATTTTGATACGCACAACATCAAACATCTGAACTATAATTAATTTTACCGGTTGTTGTTATTGTCCTGTTTGTTTGTTTGTTTGGTTTTACCTTTAGCTAATAATCCGCGCCAAAACATCGAGAAAACGACTGATTAAATAGTTGCAACTGATCGATAGATCATTAAGCTGTTTGGTTAGCGTACAAAACACACTGTCAAAAGTACCTCTTCAGGACATATTTAGGGTTGCAAATTTAATTTCAACGCTACTTTCAACGCTTACCCTCGGACTTAGAAAGAGGGGGTTGGGAGTTAGGTGGTTGTCACCCCAATGGTTGCAGTTGATTGATAGATCATGTTTAAGTGAGAATGCATGTTTTCTCAACTTCTTTCAGCAATAATAGTCAAGATGGCGACCATTGTTGGTGACGCCACAGGCCTCCGGTAGCGCTACTACCAATAAAAATATACCTCATCTCAATAAAATTTACCTCATCTTGTTGAGATCAAGGGCTTTTCCGTAATGGCAAAATCCTTTTAGAATACTGCAACATATCTCTAGGGAGGGGTTTCTCCCCCCCCCTTCCCCAACCCCCGACCCCTGCATTGGGTATGAATTTGCGTATAGGTCCGAGGGTTAAAATAAGTGTTCGGTTGTGAACGTTTCTGTTCCGGCTAAACACTTACTAGAGTACAAACTAAATACTAATTTCCTTCTGTTCGCAGTTTTTAAGGAACAAGGTTGCTTGGCTCGAGCTTCAGCTAACTCTTCATTATGTCGAAGATCGTAGAACTGAAGAATGTGATGAAACCTATGTGGATGATTTGTTTGACGACTGCAGAAAGTGTCAACTTCTAAGAAAGATGCTAGACGCCGCGCCTATACCACTGGTGTGGGTTATTGTTATTTGCTTAATTAATGATTATTATTATTATTATGATTATTATGATTATTAATTTTAATTTTACTATTATTACTATTATTATTACTATTATTATCATTATTGCTATTATTATTATTATTATTATTATTATTATTATTATTATTTGATAATCTGACCACCACATCACCAAGCACGTGCGAAGAAAAATAATATTAAATAACATTTTCTTCTCACTTGCTTAGTGATGTGGAAGTGGGATTACAAATAACTAAATAAATAAACAGAACTAATAATGCAAGCTGAATAGTAATAAAAAATAACACCGTAATTCAAAAGATCTAAAACTTCCTTTCAATAACTTCACAGTCAGTAACACACAAGTTTACAAAGTAAGACTCGTGAGTTTTTCGTTGGCTGTGCCCAAAAGACGCCTCCTAAGGGAACCTGAAAAGAAAATTGTCCGCTTTTAGAATTCAGGATCCTGAGTTTTGGAATCCGGAATACTGCTCAAGGAATCCGGAATCACACTAACGATTAAAATGTGGTATCCAAGCTCCCGTGGAAATAATACGGTATCCAGTAACTGGAATCTGGCGTGGCTAAACAGATCCAAGGACTGTTTGGATTCCCTTACATTGAATGCGGCGATAGGAGCTTTCAATCTAGGTTCAGCGGTGGTTGCTACGACAGTGCTATTTCAAGCTGCTGGCACGATCTTTTTTCAATCTTCATGTCTTTAAAATAGCACACATTTTTTTATGAAAGTGAGTTATCTACTAATACATAAAATCATACTTTGTGTATTTGAAAGGGTTGCCTTTCATTCACTTTGTTTTCCGGTCTCAATATCTAGATTCCTGGGTTACGAGTTCTACAACTCTATCTAAATTCATCTCTCTGTCAGATCCCAGGTTTAAGTGATTGCTCCCAGGACGAATTGGATGAAACAGTAGCTGTAATTCCTAATTCAGTGGCGACCAGCCTCGCAGGTGAGGATTTTACCGTCACGATTGATCCATCTCACCATTCACTGGACCAACAGCAAGACGCTGACGCTCCCAAAGTACTTCCGAGAGGGAATGAGCTTTTCAGCCGAGGATCATCCGAAAAAATCTGTTGTATTTTACTCGTTGCTGTTGCTATTCTACTTGTTAACTGGATGTGAAGACAGTTAAATATAGGTGGCGTTTGCAGAGACTTTGGATCTTCATCATCATTTACATTAGCACAGATATTTTTGTTACCTCTCCTGGCAAATAAGAAATATTTACATCCGAAAGGTTTATCTTGAACCATAAATTTCAACGAGAAAAAGAGAAAAGCTTAAACTATTTTTTTTATTTATAACAAAACAGATTATATCGTTTCCTCTTTTCATGAGACATTCGCCCCTATCAAGTGTCCTCAGAAATCTAACTAGACTACATATATATGGTTAGTTGCCAACAAGGATCACATCTATAATGGAAATGTAAAAATACATTTATTTTTCCTGTTCAAATTTCTTAAGAATACCCAGACCATTTATATAAGTCCTCCTCCCTCGAGGTGTATAGCCTTTTGGTGCGTGCCGTGAAGAACTACCGTGCGGTTGCAAGTCAACTGCTTCCACGAGTGTCGTGTGGAGCTGGCGCTTTAAGTGTAGTGCTTGGCATTTGCTTCAGTCGGCAGTAAACAGTTGTAAGATGTTTCCTCAGCGGTCGCAGAAAACAGTAACACATCATTGTTTATCTTTATTTCCCATTGTTTCTAGGTTGGGTATCGAATCAATTAGCTTTTAACGTTAGGAGAGCTGCTACATGACCAGCAGACTTGCTACAAGTCGACCTCTTGGCTAGCGAACAAGCCTTTTTTGGCCGCGAAGCGGCCGACCGCGAGAGGTCGACTTGTCTCTCTTGAAGGGTTACCATTGGCATCTCGCGCCAAAAATGGGGAGTGGCGTGAATCGCATTTGGGGTTTCAGGTTTCATTTGCGAGTCCTTGACTTCAATGGCGGAATGTGCTGATTCCACTCCGACTAAGTCTATTGAACGTGTGTGTGTTTTTTGTATCTCCATCATCGAAGGAGCAAATTTGTTTACTTTGTGCGAAAGTTGACGAACTCAGGCGGCTGGAAAAAAAACAAAAAACTTGTTTCAATCTCGAGTCAATACTGGGAAACGAGATCTCCAGTGACTGTTTTTTACAGCTGTTTTTAACTAATATTTTGTGTCGTAACTGTGCCGACAAGAACGAAACCCTTGTTAGGAAGCTTCACGGAGTGAGAGAAAGCCTCCAATCGTCGAGGAAGGCTGCGTACGATGCTCTAATGCCACGGGAATTTAAGTCTGAAACCTGATCTTTCATGAGAGAAATCAACAGGATAATCAACAACACGATGGCATCGCAATTCTCTCCAAATAAACGATCGAAAGTGTATGGAGCCAGCTCAAAAGTCAGACTCTTGCCGGCTCCGGTTGGAGCATACACAAAAACGTCCCTCCCCGACAGATATGCTTCGATTGTTTTCCTTTGAAAGTCACGCAATTCAGAATAGCCTGTGGCCTCAAGAGCAACTTTCATCGCTTTCGCAATCGACCCCATGTTGGAATTTGAAACGCAAGTCACGTTTCAATGCGCTTAGTACTTGTGAGTGACAGCTTTATCCCCAAGAGTCTTTGGGGGCTACTCTGATTAGTCTAAGCGCACTGACCCGTTTTTGGGTTGGTAAAATTGGCGCCAATCAAGTATGAAAAGTCCTTTGTCCCGCGCCAAATGAAATCCGACGAAGGACTTTTTTGAAAGTCTACATGACCAGTAAAGGGCACTTGGAAACGACCTATAGCCATATAGGCTCTTGCCTCCCACGCCATTTTGATGATCCAAAATGCAGTGGAAGCACAGATGCTAGGTGGCAAAATTTGTAACAACTGTCTCCAGCATTAAAAGAAAAATTAAAACAGCTTTTTTTTTTAATTACATGCAAATTCGAAACGGTTGTAACAATAAATATATGAATTTAGGCCCCTTCCACACGTATCTGGATAAAAATATTTTTGAATCTGCAACTTTTTTTCTCTCCAGATACAGCTTCCTTCCTCACGTATCCTGTGAATCGGGCTTATGAATCCGCAACTTTTTTAATCCGCTCTCCAGAGTGGGAATGTTTGAATACGCTATGAATACGGAATAGTGTGGACACTAAATCCGGATCTTTTTTTAATCCGGTGACGTTATAAGATCGAGCCAAGTTCTTTATATTAACGTAAATACTGTAACCAAGATGGCAACCTCGTTCCTAGGTCCTCTTCCTTACGAGTCGATGTAACTTGTAAGATGCAAATTTCGCTCGCTTTCGCTTCTCTGGCTGAGAAAGAATCTAAGTTATTTCAGGTCAACACCGATACTTCCGGTGCTGGAATTCTACCCGTAAATGCTGTCTACAAGAAATCTTTCCCTGCCCAAGAAAGCCAAAAGCAAACAGATCCTAAGTCAAAAAATGGGAGGAAAGAAGTGTTTTCGGTGTGGCTCTCCCCGACATTTGGCCGACAAGTGCAGCCATGTCGCATGTGCATGTAATTGCTGTGTTAAGCCTGGACATTTGGCCAAAAAACGCTTCAAAAAAAGAAGGGAAGAATTAGGTGGTAATAACACCACTCACTAAGTATCAGCTACTCCAACATCAGGAACTTGGACCAAGGAAGAACAAGAGAATTCAGCCCTTTCTAGAATTGTTTTTATGTAAAGAGTGCAATCGTCTGGAAATTCGTCAATTACAACGCCTTTATACAAACTTACCGTTACAATTCAAGACCGGGGAGTCCCTATGGAAGTTGACACAGGCAGCTCCGGGACATTGTTGGGTTCTACTGATTACACCAAACTAGGAGGAGAATTAACTACACTCAGACCCCCTACGGTGCTTTTTAAAAGCTGTACTGGGGACATTATCCAGTGTTTGGGTGAGGAGGAGATGGATCTCAAATTACGAGATCAGGTGGGTACCCTGTTAATTCGTGTAGTTCAGGGACCATCTGTACTGGTGCGGGACATGATTTCCAAGTTAACATTACCTTGACAGGAACATTTTTAGTACGCTTTCAACTGCAGCCGAGGATATAGTTCAGCAGTACCCTAATTTGTTTGACACTAGTTCAAAAGCAAAACTTAAATAAATCCAAGTGTCATCCCGAGTAACTGATGAGAGCCCTGTGTTCATCAAAGCACGGGTAGTACCATTTGCAATTCGGTCCAAGTATGAAGGGGCTTTGGAAAAAATGATAGGAGATGATACCATTGAGAAAGTAGAGCATTCCGAGTGGGCATCACTAACATTTCCTATTGTTAAAGCAAACGGGGATTTGAGAATTTGTGGGGACTACTCTGTCACCATCAACCAATTTTGTAATTAGTCCTAGAGCAATACCCCATACAAACGCTGGAGGAACTACTGACTACATTTTCTGGGGGAAAAATTCTCAAGCATATCATCAACGAGAGCTTACGCCAGAAAGTAGAAAATACACACACAATTAACACTCATTTGGGGATCTACCACCAATACAAGCGCCAGACTTAAGGAGTGAGTAGTGCTGTGTCAACCTTTCAATGCACTATTGAAAATGTCCTGAAGGACCTTCCAGGCTGCTGCGTCCGTATTGATGAGCTCAGGAAAATCAGACGAAATCCATCTGGAAAACCTTCATAGAGTACTAAGACGATTGCAGGATTGGGGTCTGAAGCTTAACCCTCAAAGGTTTTTTTTTTCTTTCTTTTTTCAGGCTGGATAGAGTTGAGTATCTTGGTACCACCATTTCTGCTGCAGGGATTTCACCTACTGCTGAGAAAGTGCAGGCAATAAAGGATGCAGCACCTCTAACAGATGTTTCTGAATTACAGTCATTCCTTGAATTGGATCTGCCAATTTTCTACCTAAATTTGTGCCGGACTTTGCAAAGTTGGCTTCGGCTTTGTACCGATTACTTCGTAAGGAGGTACCATGGAGATGGACAAAACTGGAACAAGACTGTTGATAACATCAAGGTTGCCCTGTGCTCCGATTCTGTTTTACGTCTATGGTGGCCTAGGAGTGCCATAAGAAAATTGTGTAGTATCTTGTAAGTTCCCCGTAATTTATTATGTTATTTCATTTTATTTTTAAACTTTAAACGAAAAAAAATTATTATCGAGATACTTTAAATCAAATTTAAACGAAAAAAATAGAAAGTAAAGTAAAATAATTTTTAAGCAGAAGTAAAATGAAACGAAAATAATATTTCCTTGGCCTAGCAGTGCCATAAGGTTTTTCTAAAAAAAAAAAAAAAAAAAAAATGTTGTTCATGGCCTATCGATGCCAGAGCCCACAATGCACTTCGCTGATCTTTTGCGTGGCTCCTAAGCGATGTTTGCATGATTTCTCTGTTTCAATCATGTCGGGTAAACGTAAGCAATGGGACGACTACAAGGAGCGCCAAGGAAAGAGACGGGTAGGTGCAAAGAGCGATAAAGCTAGCCCCAGTGCGTCACAAGGCTTCTTGACTGTGCAGAGACTATCGGCAAACGTTCAAGGCAAGTGCCAAAAGTACAACCGCATTGGCCCTTTAACCCTCGTGCCGTTCGACAAAGAACCAACTTTCAAGAATATCAAAGATGCCTGTAAGTCGCATTTTGGAACAAATTGCGAATGTGATATTCTCGCGGGCGAACGCGGGCCCTCTTACACGCATGAAAGTCAGATCAAAGACTGGTCGGAGGTCATTCATATCAGATTTCTGGAATATGAAAAGTCGCAAAAAGCCGAGGAGTCAGTCTTCGTCCGGCCATTACATAAAAGTGAGCCAGTCAGCCCACGAAAGTGCGATAGTGCGGCGACAGCTGCCACAAAATCGTCTGTAATACCGCGTTCTGTCTCTCTTAGTCAAATGTTGAAAGTGGGCCAGCTTATAGAACCAGAAACAAATGTTGTCACGCTTCATCTAGAAGAATTTGCCGTCAATGAATTGAAGTGGTTAGATCCTTTTCCGGTCACACTTTCGCTGCATCGTAAGTCGTTTTCAGAAGGTGTATTTAGAGAGGCATATATGGCCAAGGCTCTATCAGGCCTTCCTAAAGGAGATTATGTACTAAAGAAATACAAAGAAGGAGAGAAACCTGGTATAATTCAGCTGTTCGGTTCAATGGAAGCACACACCAGGGGCACCCAAAGGCAATTTTCGGGAAAATGTCTGTTCGGAAGACGATTTGAGATCTAGAATTTTCGGAGCATTTGTTGTAAAATTTCTTGCTTGCCCGCCTCTCCTAGGATTTTCGAACATCTACAAAATGGTATAATTACCCATTTTTAGCGGATTTTGACCCTAAAAAAGGCCACCTAGAATTTTCGGGAGCCTTTTCCTGGCTGAAAGGTAAGTTTTTATCCCTATAATTTTCGGATCACTAGACTTTCAGCTAGGAAATCCGAACAGATGAAAAGTTTTTAGGGGATAAATATATGCCTATATCTACCGTTTGAATACTAAAATACGTTCAACAATGCTATGTTAAGTGGTTTTGAACTATATCCTAGTTGGGTGCTCCTGAGTAGTCGATTTGAGAAATTTAAATTATTTAGGACCCCGTCTACAACTCGTGTTATACATTTCACGTGTTATATAAGTTTCACAGATTCGTGTTATATAAGTTTTATATTTTAGTTTTTACTACTCTGGCAAAAAGCAGTGGTTTCCACTTCCAAGGTTGACAAATTTCAACCCTCTATTATACTCAGGGCTGAAACATATAGGGGCACGCAACGAGTGTTTTCTGTGAAATATCTGCTCGGAGAAGCAAAAAGTACCAAGAATTTTCTATAGCTTGAGGAAGGCTAAACATTTCTAGATGACCGTTCCATTCGTGCACAACTGTCGAAGCTTATCTAACAAATTCGCTACGATTTTCTGAAGTTTAATTTTTCCCATTTCACTCCCCAGTTTAGGCTATTTTTCGTAGAGAAAGGAAACCTAAAATTTTCGGAATCGAAAATGCAATGCAGAGAGGAATCAGAAAAACTGTCACTTTCGTAAAACTTAAAATTACACCTAAAATTTTCGGGAAAATAATTCTGAAGCCCTTGTAATTTCGAAAAGACTCAAGTTGCCCTAGGATGACAGAACAGATATAAATTTTTTAGCGCCTCTTACAATACATTCCTAGAGATCTAAAAGTACTCTGGATAGCCTAAAAAGCGTTTTCAAAGCATTTGGGAGGAAACCGTCGTTGGGTACCCCTGACATACCAGGAAATCTGTTCAACTGAATGCTCTGGCAAGAAACTTTGCACAGTCAATGGATGCAGAAGCACCAGTGCTAGAGTTTGGAAGAACCTTTACGTACAACAAAGTTTTCTTCTCATCTATCGGCAATGAGTTTGTAACAATAGAAACCTTCATTGATGGGCACTTTGTGAAACTAAACAATAATGATGGCTTAATCTGTAGTGAAGAAGCCTCGGAACTAAGCATGAAGGCCGAGACCTTCAGCCACTACACCTACAAGAAGTCAAACACCCAATTAATGGTATTAGATATCCAAGGAGTTGGATACACTTTGTGTGATCCTGAAATTGCATCAACAACACACATGGATGAAGCAAACAACTACTATTTTTGCACTGGTAACTGGTCAACAAAAGCCATCGAAACTTTTTTTAATACACACAAATGCAATAAATACTGCAAACTGCTAAACTTGTAAAACTTTGTTCCCAAGTGCTGTTTGTCCTCATACCTGTTAAAGCTACTGTGGTGTGAGTCAAGAAACTATCCACATCCCCTTGAAACAATCACTCCTCGGATATAAAAACTTGGGTTGAAAAATTTGATTTTCCACAGTCATCTGATTTTTACAACTTTCCAGTGTTCATTTTGTTTGAACGTTTTCCAGTTTGCTACCTAACTGTCAGTTCCATTGAAATATAGTTCTGTTGTTGTTCAAGGTGAAGCATCAATATTCAACCCTATGGGTCAGTAAAAAAGTTCACAGTTGTTGTTAGCATGTTGTGTTCAGTTGCCTTAAGTTTGAAGTTTGTTCTCTGTGATTTGCACGGCACATATTTCAGTAAATAGTAATTAAAACGGACTTATTAATCAATTATGTTTAGACTGTTTAGGTACTTATATAGTTATCCATTCTATCAATGTCAATTCAGGCTGCCAGGCACTAAAGCATTCTTTCCCAGTGAAGGAATTTGGGAACTGTAAACAGCATTTTCTGTTACTCAAAAGTTGCACAGTTTTCACATATGGGTAAAAATTGGTTTTCTATGGTCAGCAGATTGGGTATCAGCATTTCCAAAGATTGGAAAAGTAATGCTCTTGGCCACAGAAAATGTAGCATTGTCAGGCCTCTCATTCCAAATATATACATATTTTTTAATAAATACTAGTGAGCCCCAAAATAAACCTACAATATTCTCAGAGTCATGCAGGAGTTTTGTCACATCCTGCACTTAGTCTGTAGGTGTTTTTGGCTGTTCACACTTGTGCTGAAACGTGATTTGTACTTTGTAGATGATGTATAAAATAAGTTCCTTTTACCCCAGTAACTATGTAGCTGAAACTTCCTGATGAAGTCTGGGTAATCAGACAAAACTGGTCAGATACAATAAAGCAAGTTGAGAAGATCTGTTGCCTAGTGCTGATCACTAGTATTTATTTCAAAATACAAAAAGATTTAAAAGATTTAAAAGAAATAATGAACTCAATTTGCTGGTGTAGAGGTGCAGGGCTGACAAGGCTTTTAGATATTTTAAATAAAAATTAGTTCATATTGTTAAATAAAAAATATGAGTCAGTGAAAATTGAATTAGGCTACTGTTACACCCTGTTTACATCAAAACTACTCTTTAAAAATAAATAAGCATTCGCTGCCTGTGCAGGCTCAACATCATTTGTGTCTGGGATGTGTCTTTCACATTCTGTTCTGAACCTAGCCTCCAAATAGTCACTTGTCCCTTCCAACACACCCGAGAGTTCTGCTGTTTCCTGGAGTTGTTCTTCAGTTACTGTGAGGCCACATTTTTCCCCTCCATAATTCTGCGGATACATGTAAATATGCTCTGGTACTCCATCAGGAAGTTCTTTAGCCTTCTGCTTGCGCATGCGGTGGTTGTTTCACACTGATACTCTAAAGGTATCTAGCTCTTTCTGTAGCACAGGGATGTACACTTATGCAAGTAGGTTCCTTCAGAGTGAACAGCAGAAAAACTTTAGTATGTGCAAGTCAGTTATTAGGCTTTAGAACACATGAACATTCCTTTTATGACCTATGAAAGAAACACTGCAGCTTTTAATTAGTGTGTAGCCAAACAGATTGTGAGGAACATGCAAAACTGTCTACAAAACGCAAGTTTTCAATCCTGAAACATAAGAATACTGTTTGTGCCTACTCATAACTTATATAAATTATACCTGTCTGTTTTATCACGTGGGTCATAATCTCCATTCTCAACTAGAGAGGACAACTGACGTTTAAAAAACCTCTCCATTCTATCCAGCAGCTCACGCCACCAACGCTCTGGCTCTGGTTCTCTGGTGTCGCTTTGCTTTTACCACACCTCCTCTAGCTTGAAGTCCTTCCGGGGAAACTTCTTTCATGACTGCGTAAACAACATCACCGGGCACATTTAGCCCGTGAATCTCGCGTACCTTTTGTTGCATGGAACGATAGCCAAGCAGCTGTCCCGGACCATCCATTTCGCGTCTCAAATCAAACGATGGGCACTACTCTTAGCTGCTTAAGACAATGTGTTTGCCGATTTTTTGTCTAGGAGGCCAATTTATACAATCAGTGTATTACGGAAAAGGTAACTGTAAATGTGATATTTATAGAAGAAGATCAGTTTTTAAGTGTTTCAGTTGTTGCTATGGAAACCACGAGAGACCCAGCTCCGGGAAAGGTGCTACAGTCTACTCAGCAGGGTTGGGCAGATATTCTGGAACCAGTGTTCCGCCTTAATTACGTCAAAAGCCTTCAACTCTCTCATGAAGATAGTGTCCTCCTGTGGAACTCGCGAGTTGTCAAACCAGAGTCATCACAGAGCCCGTGGCTGATCTGCATGCACAGCACCTGAGTATGTTTAAAATGAAACAATTAGCTCGAAATACTTTTGGTGGCCTGAAGTTGATAAGCAATTTGAGGAGACAATTAAATCATGTCCTGCTGGTCAAAAATCTGCTTAATCGCCAAAATCCACCCCGACTTCATTATGGCCCTGGCCAGGGGGACCATGGAAACAATTACATGTATATTTTCCTGGACTTCATCTTGGCAAGATCTTTTTAGTGGTAGTGGATGCTATTTCCAGATTTTTGGAGATAGTACCTATGACACATGCAACCAGCGCCATCACCATTACTGCCTTGAGACACTTTTTTAGTTACTTTTGTTTACCCGAGCACCTTGTAACAGATAAAGGGACTCAGTTTACGAGTGATGAATTCAAGAAATTTCTAAGAGAGAACGACATTCTTCATACTCTAACTGCTCCAGGACATCCTGCTGCAAATAGGTTAGCAGAAAGCTATGTGGGTGAATTTATTTAAGGATAAATTGGGCAAGATCGGAGATACAAGCGAGTGTGTGCAAATAAAATTAGACCAGTTTTTGTTGACTTACAGGGCCACACCTACCTCATTAAGAAAATTCACACTCCGAATTACTTATAAACAGACAGCCTAGAATTAGATTCAGCGCACTGAGAGTCAAAACAGGAAGTAAGGGTTTTTAAAGACAACTTTGATAACCAAACCCATTTTACTCCAAACTAAGCAGTTTTTGTGCGTAATTTTGGCGAAGGAGCCAAATTGATTCCAAGAACCATTGTTGGAACAGTCAGTCCCCGAATTTTGAGGTTCAGGTCGGACTCAAGCATGTTAAGCCATGGCCTGAGGCTAATTTGCATAAAATCTTATAATGGTCATAACTTGGTGAAAAATCGGTAATCTTGATTTTCCTGTAACGTAAGAAATCAGATATATGTGTCACGTGACCACGTATGGTCGAGTCCAGGAAAAAAAAGAAAACTAAGAAAGGGGTAGCGAGATGCCACACAGTGTATATTAAATACTGAACAGTATTTTTGTTATTGTATCATCATTTCTCGCTTGAATCTGGCCGGAATGGTTGACTCACATTTTTATTTAATTAGTAATTAAGCAAAATAGGTCACGTGACACTTTTCACCTGTTAATATCTTTTTAAGAAATTAAAAATTGTCTCCGTTCCGGCCACGGAAAAAAATTCGTACGGTAAAACAAGCATTTACAGATGTTTCAAACTTAGTTGTAATCAACCATTTCTACCCCAGTTTGAATTTCTTTTTCAATATCATTATGACGTCATGCACGTTTCACGTGACTACATCACTTCAACCCTAACTAATTCAACTCCTTGAAAGAAAGTCTCTCACAAGTTTTTTGCAACTTTTAGAATTAAAATGCATGGCCGTAGAAGAAAAACAGCTTTATCTTCGCGAGGAGCTGGTCGAGACCATAAATTGAGCCATGCCATAAGATGCTTGAGGAGACATCTGGAAGCGACATCAAGAACAATTACGTCCACGGCTCATACCTTCCACACTAAGGTCAGAGTTAGTTCGTGAACCCCAACTATCTGAGAAACTGAAGGGTTGACCGCTGTAATCGGGGAAAGGCTTCTTACAACACAACCCTTTCACAGGCTAAAGAGGCTATGCCTAGTTCCTTTTTCAGTAATAAACGACGTCATCATGACATCACTGCTACTGGTAAAGGTTACTTATACGTTAGCAACTACCTGATTTTATCAAACACCTTACTATTCATTAAGAGTTTTTCGCTTAATGTGTATTTGAGAGAAAATTGGATTCTGACAATAAATTGACTGATATGACGTCATGTTACGTCACTGTGTAAATCAAAATATGCCCAGAAGTTGGAAATAATGAGTACAGTTGATTCCCGATAACTCGAACCTCGCGCTAACTCGAACCAAAATCGATCAATTTGCCCTGGATTTCCGTCATACATTTACTGTAATTTTACCCTCGGTAACTCGAACCTCGATAACTTGAAGCTCCCGCTAACTCGAAGTAGCTTTTGTTTCCCCTAAGATCATTGCTATATAATTTTACTCTCGATAACTGGAACCATGTTTTGAGCCCTTACAAAGTTGGGAAAAAAAGCAGTCTACTGGCCTCCGAAACATTAAATTGGGATTTTCCTATTGACGTGCTGTAGGAGTATGTACTAGTGGAGGCATATGTTGATTGTCACAAATCTAAAGTGAGACAGTTTTACTTCTCAAAACAGTAAAACGCATGCTCTGTTTAGACTATGTTTTGTTACGTTACGTTCTGATTTATAAGCTAGAAGTATCTTTAAATTTTCACTTGACATTTCTACATATAAAATGTGATTGAAATGTTCACTGTGCAGTAAAAACTGTTTCTTTCCTTAGGCTGCGTGTAAACGGAAGCAACAACTCCCATCACTGTTACACCAACAATGTTGGGAGTTGTTACGTGCGTGTTGGCAGTGGTGTGCGAACGGATGCAACAACTCCCAACAATGTGGGAACCTGTAGTGCATTGTGGGAATGATACAACCCATACGTCTATGTGAGCCATGCCTAATGAGCGTGCGTGACCCTAACAATGTTGGAAGAGCTGTGCAAACGGATCCAACATTGTTGCGCTACGCTTCGGCGATCACGGAGCAAAAGAAATGTTGGGAGTTGTTGGCTGAAAAGTTAGACCGGGTTCAAACTTTGCGCAGCAACACGCACCAACATCCAACAACATGCAACAGGGTGTGCAGACAGACGCAACATGTAACATCCAACAATGTTGGGAATTGTTGGCCAACAATGTTGTGTCCATTTGCACGGGGCTTTACTCCCAGCTATTGTCTTCGAGCTCCCGATAAATCGAACTCCCTATAACTCGAACTTTTTTCGATTTACCTTGAAGGTTCGAGTAATGGGGAGTCAACTGTACTTTGTTTTGTGTGATTTTGGTGGTCGTAGCATGAACAGTGTTGAACAGTGTTGAAGTTATAGAGGGGAGTTTCTTTGCAGAAAGTAAATAAAACCCCGGTCTGAATAGAGTCACTTGTTCAGTTGAAACATAAAAGATCTTTTCAAGTTATTCCACTTGCATTTACTCTAAGGAAAATAATTTCAATAAAAACAATTTTACTTAAAAATATATAAATACACATTTAATTTGTATCCCAAACTCGCTGTGTATTAGTGCTACTAAAAAATTAATGCAACGAGTAAAATTGCCTAACCACACGTGATTAATAGGGTTTATAACTATGGGAACAGATTAAAAATTCAAAGGAATTTAAGTTAAAGTGATACCCCAAAACCAGCCCAAAACGCTTCAAAAAGGACGTTAGAAACGCAAAATTCAGCACAAATTAGAGTATTATATATACATTTGTCTACAATATTAGCTCAATGTAGCTATATATTTTCTTTGTTTTGTTTTGTTTTGTTTTTTGTTTTTTGTTTTTTGTTTTTTGTTTTTTTGATTTAAAACTCTTCCCTACAAATTGCGTCGCCACACAATTTTGCCAATTGTGTTGGTGTTAATTTTAAACAAGCGAACATATGGTGACTTTTTGACGCCTGTGGTTTTTCAATCGCATATCACGCTTTGAATACGCATTCCAAGAAAATAGTGTTTTTTTTAGCAGCTGATTTGACCTGAATTGACGCCAGTTTTATTTCATTTATGCTGTGTTTATTTTTTGCATCACCAAGGGCCAGGAGATTGTTTTAGCGCAGCACTTTCCCCTTGGTTACGCAGGAAGTAATTCTGCTCTGTCGAACTTCTGGGGCCTGTTTCTCGAAAGTCCCGGTAACTTTACGGGCCCGAAATCAAATATTCAAATCGAAATATAAAGAATAAGAGCACGGGTCCTGGCTAGCAAACTACTCCATTTTGTTTCATTAACTGACAGTTTTATCATGTTAGATGCAAAACTATTGAAACCTCGATCGTTAATGTAAACGGAGAAAGCCTACCGGGCCCGTTAATCATCGGGACTTTCGAGAAACGGACCCCTGGTATCTTGTAAATTAAAGCGAAAGGAATATATTGCGATTGAAAAAATATATAGATACAAAAATAAAGAACCAAATAAATAAAGAAAACAATTTAAGAAAAGAACACAAAGTAAAACTATAAAAAAAATCATTCAGGGGGAAATAAAGGAACGTGTGCTAGTCCGATTACGTCAGAATTCAAAGTGCACCAGGGTTTTTCAGTTTGCCGGGGAACTCCTTCTGCGTTTTAAGATCAGTTTGGCATGTTTGTCTTAAAGGCCTTTGAATATAGTAAGAGATTTATCTATTGTAACTGAGCACCTGCATTTATATCAAATAATTTCTGAGTGCTCCACAGTCAATTATAATTAAGGTTCGTAGAAACTAATGCAAGCAATTATGATAGCAACTCCTATTTTTTTACTATGTTTATTTCTTTATCCCCCGTTATTAAAAAGTAAACCAATCAGAATATTTCCAGGAGCGATAATGTGTACGCCCCTATATCTGATCCCGGTGATGAAAGGGAATAACACCAGTAATAAAAATTATAGAATGATTTATCGGACTTATGATATAATGCAGAAACTGTTCACCAGAGCGGCGTTCGACTACCATCTTTTAAACTCCCACGATAAAGGATAACCTAACCATCAATCAAATCAATAGGATAAACTTGGAAACTAAAATGAAAATAAGTAATAATAATAATGATAAAAAGCGTAGGCGTGTCTACTGGGAAATACAAATAATGTATACCTAGCTATATATTTTTAGTTCACATTACATCTCCGCTCCTTTGTCTGTCACATTTCTTGACGTAAATTCATTACTTTCGCTGCATTATATGTATACAAATACATCGATATCTGTTTTATTTACTTGCAATTTGCATGACAGAGACAAAATGAAAGAAACTTGAAGCGTTTTTGTCGATCTGTCGATACATGAGATTTCCGACGCGACAGATTAATAAAAAATGGGAAAAGGAAATTGAAAAGGCGAGTAATGCTTCCCCTACACGTCGCGTAAAACATTTTTTTTTTTGTTAATGTAAATACCATAATACGAGTATCATTTATTGAAAGCCCCTGCGCTTCCCAGTTACTAGCTTGGTAACCTATGTTACAAACAATAAGGTGGGTGGTAAGTCATTTCCAAGTATATCCTTTGTCAATTGCCCGTGCCCTGCTTGCAATAAAAGTAAGTTTCAGAAATAATAAATGTCTCATACGATTGTAATCAACATTGCGAAGCAACAGCAGGACACGGCATTTATCTATCCTGAATGATTGACAAACATTTCAAGTCATTACCGTCGCCGCTTTGACGTCAAGTTTTGTTCAGAAGCAGGAATCATATTATCTTACAAACGTTTTGCGCCCCTGTTTATAAAGGCTAACAAAACTCCAAAGCGTCTTTTTAAATCTTCATAGAATTTTAAAACTCCCTGCCTGATTTTCCAGTAGAGATCTCCTTATCCAGCAGGGATATTATTACACCTGGAAATATTATGGCCTCCTATAACTTCAGTAGCAGACTCAACGAAAGCAAATTTGATTCTGATGATGAGGCTATGCGGGGTAATACTTCGCAAGACGGCTGCCAGTTTCGTAACGATGCTACATCCACGCAAACTCTTCGAGTTGTCGCCTACTGTGTGATTATTGCTGTATCAATCTTTGGCAACTGCATGACAATCGCTGTCGTCTGGCGAAACAAGAACATGCGAAAAGCGTTGGACTTTTTTATTGTTAACCTAGCCTTAACAGACTTGACCATAACGTGTGTTTATATGCCTCGGGTAATAGTTATGTGGCTGCGAGGTAGTGCATGGCTCGTGGAAGGCGTTTTTGGTGCGATTTTATGTAAAGTTGTTCCATTTTTACACGGTATAAGTATCATAGTTTCAATTCTTACGTTGATGGCCTTGGCTGTTGACAGATTTATTGCCATTGTGTATCCATTAAGGCAAAGAATTACAGCGAGAACTTCAAAGTTCATCATCGCTTTTACCTGGATTTTAGCCGCTATGGTTCGATTTCCATACCTTTACTCTCTAAAGCTTGTGTACAAAACTCGCGAAGACGAATTCTCCTGTGACGCTAATATAAAAAGAGCCTTCGGAATAAACCAAGCAAGAGAGATATACTACACGTTTCTGTTTGTAGCGTTCTACGGCGTTCCATTTGTAATTATTACTGCGTCGTACGTGAAGATTTTGGTGGCATTAAGACGACAGCAGGCGTTCCGTGAAGACATCGCAGACCAAGCTAAAGATTCAGCGAGATCAAAGGTTGTCCGGGAAACGCGGGACCGAGCAAGTAAAAAAGTATTGTACATGTTGTTATCCGTCACAGCAGCTTTTGTCTTCTGCTGGCTGCCATACTTCGTAGCGCAAATCGTGTTCGATGTAATACCGTGTTTATTAAGATTTTGGCGCCTTTTTCTCGCTCACAGCAATAGTGCTCTCAATCCCTGTCTCTACGCGGTTTTTAACGAGAAATATCGACGTGGCTACAGAAGAATTCTCAGCTTATTTTGCTGTGAACGGGTCTAAAGAAACTATTTGATTTAAAGACCTAGTTGCAACTTTGCAGGTATACGTAGTGAATACTCTTAGGAAAAAGATATATATAGATGGTCGTTTATGACTAATTAATGTTAAGGTGGCTTACGGATAAGGTTTTTTTTTTGGTCTCATTTCACTGATCTAAATTCAACAGTAACTGGCATGTTGCAAACATCTTTTTTTTGTTTGTTTGTTTCAGCCTTAGTCACTTATTTCTTCAAACTTAGATTCATTATTAAGGAACAAGGTTCAAGTCAGGGCTTCCTGGGACCATTGACTTCCAGTCAAAAGGGTAGTTGTATTAATTAAAGTTCAAAGGATCGCTGCTCCTTGGAGATTAACAACACTATAACATAACGCATAACCTTTTTTGATCCAATCTGGTAATCGTAAAATTAAAACCCTGAATTTCATGTAATAATTAAAACAACCGAGGTAGAAATTTACTTTGCTGTCAATGAAGGATAAACACTGCTGTTTTCAACAATGCATTCGTTTATTCGAGAAATAAAGATTTTCCGCGATGAATTGTAACACCTGGTATCCATTATCAGATCTGTTTAGAGCGAAGTATCCACTTCCTATGAAATAATCATATCCTAAAGCACATGGAGAGATTAAACTGAAATAAATAAGAAAATAAAATTAATACGTACATTAGTGGTTTACAAGATAATAAAAGCACCTGTGATCTTTTTATGCAGAAGAACACATCCCCCTCAAGATAATTAGTAAAATAATTAGCGTCCATTTATTAAGGGGTGGGGGGTGGGGGAAATCAAGCAGAGGAATTAATTAACTATTCTATTGCCGAGCCTATTCCTCGAGTATTGCTCGTGGAAGACCTTATAGACGCGGCAATATTTAAAACATAACATTTTCTATAGTGGAGATCTTTATCCATATGCCTATATAGCTTTTTTTTTTTTGTTTTGTTTTTGTTTTTGTTTTTTTGTTTTTGGTTTTGTTTTGTTTTGTTTGTTTGTTTGTTTGTTTGTTTGTTTTTTTGAAAGCTGGGTTAGACTGAAATAAATAAGAAAAGAGATGCGTAGAATTGTGGTTTACAAGATAATAAAAGCACCTGTGATCTTTTAGTCACCCACTAACTATTTATGCAAAAGAACACATACCCCCTCAAAATAATTAGTAAAATAATTAAGGTCGATTTTTTAAGGGGTGGGGGGTGGAGGAAATCAAGCCGAGCCTATTCCTCGAGTATTGCTCGTAGAATACCTTTTAATTACGCCCGGTTCAGACGCAGTACTTTTCATGGGCTGAACCTAATACATTGAATTAAGTTCATGAAAAGTTCGGCGTCTGAATCAGTTATGAAGGTCTTTTCAATTTGGAGCCGCTCAACCGTTCTTTCCGCCTAGCCCGGCCTTGGATCGAGTTTGGAACGCTTTTGATTCACACGCCGATCTTTTCGTGTACCGAACCTAATACATAACCTCTTATAACGTATTTTGGAAGCAGTTTTACCGAAATGAGCATTTTTCTCCGTCTGAATTTAGTTCGGCTGGAATTAAGATCGGCATCTGAATCAATTCAGCCGGTCTAAATGATCTGGGTCGGCCTTAATTCGAATTAGGTTCGGCTCATAAAAAGTTCGGCGTCTGAACCGGGCCTTATAGACACGGCAATATTTATAACATAGGCTTTTCACTAGTGGAGATCTTTACTCCACATGCATTTATATCTGTTTTTTTGAAAACTGGGTTAGCAAAAAATCAACTCATTCTGCTATGTCACAATTTAAAACAATGAAAGTGGTTAATGAGAGTAAGTGGTTCGATCGATTCCTAGAAGCATTTCACAGAGTCCACATTTAAATTGACGCAAATTTTAAACATTTATTCAGCAACCTGAGTCCGTGAAGTTCCAACCCGGCGTCTTTTCAGTCTAGAAATCTTTAAGTTGAGTGAAATGCAGTAATAAGTGCCTGCAAGGTTAAAGCTCTCATAACAACATTAATAGCTAGCAAAACACATTTTTTTTTTCTCAGGCCGAAAAATGACAGTATTCGAAAGGAATAGATAATAAACAGTGAAACATAGTACACAAATTATCACCTTCTGATCTGCAAAAACCGGACTACGGTTAAAAGGTCAGTGCCCACTAAAACTAAACCTAGATCCAATTTTCCCGAGTCCTGAATTGGTTTTCCATGGCACTGTCACCTAAGCTAACACCGACGAAGCGTTTTTATACCTATCAGCGCAGCTGAACCAAGCGACCACATGCCTGAATTTTGCTAGTCAACACTATCCGGAAAACTCACAATCATACCCTTTAGAGGCACTGACAAGACTATCCACAATTACGCATGATAATTTCATTTTTAACAGAAACGAAATATCATCAAATAACTCTTAAAAATTCAACCTTTTGCCAGTCTTGCCCCTGGTCAAATTTCACCTGCAATTTTGCCCACGCCTAATATATTAAATTTGACGCCTAAACGCTTTTTTCGAAGCCAAAGCGGTTACCCAAGAAAAGCGAAGAAACTCGTACAACTCTTTCTCAGCCTGGATAAGTGAGTGATTGATCCGTTTAGCCAAATGAAACAAGAAGGAAGTTGAGATAAATTACAAAATGTTTGCTAACCCGGTTTACATAAATCCAGGTAGATATATGATTCCTGAGAAAGCCAAAGAATGGTGGAAAATAAAGGATTTAGTCAGATTCCTGACCGTTTACACATACCGCCCAAATATTCTGAGTTATTCAAGGAATTATTTGCACTACAAAACATGGCGGATGAAGCAGTAATAGGATGCAAACTATACAGGATCAACTTAGTTTTCTGGGAAACTGCCGCCTACACCTCCCCTAAGCTAACATTAACACTTAGTTCTTACTTAGAAAAAAATGATGGCTTAGGGGAGGGGTAGGTGGGCAGTTTCCCAGAAACCTAAATTAATCCGGGAGTTTTTTTTATTCCGGATTCAAGGAATTGCGTATGAACGGGAAAACAGTTCCAGTTTCAAACATTCCATCTAGCCCATTTAATTCACTCAATTATGTTATATTTAGCAAGTAATAAGTGAGGCTGAGCTGATATGAAGAATTAAGCGGATCGAGGAGGGTGTTATCCATAATAATCCCTTGTTTAAAAGCATAGCTAAAACAATTGCTTACCTGCATCGATGTTAAATTTATCTTCGAAAGTGTACGTTCAGGTTTGTCCAGCTCCGCAAATATTCTCCAAATAGCAGATGTCGCCCTCCGATCTTCTCTCTGTTTTTGCTATGTTTTTAGCTATCATTTCACCTAGTTCCAGCTGTGGTTCTTACTCTTGAAACGAGTGGTGTCCGCCATTTTAGTTTTCACAACGAAAACAACTCAACCTTGTTCCCAGGTTTTGTCGGCTAACGGTGCATTAACCTGTAGAAGGCTGTATTTTTGACGTCATTTCCTCGTTAAACACAAATTCTTCCAAATTTTGTCATCAGTAAGTAGTTATGGTGAATTATGCGTGTGCTTCTCAAGGAGTTTAAGGCCTGGGTCAAAGATATGTTCTGAGCAAATGAATAATTGGCAATATCTCTCGCTAGGAGACCTACATGTAGACCAAATGAACTTTTCCCCCTTTTCCCCTTTTGGTCACGTGTCATGTCACATGACCTAAAATTGAATTAATGAAGGAAATTGGCGAATTGGTGGCGAATTTACTTTGTTTCGATAGACAAACTGGTATTTCTGAAAGAAGATAAACATACCTAACTGTCTGGTTTTGGAATGAATATAAGCGAAGTTTAAAATGAAAGTTTTAAATATTTCAAGATTAATTTTGGGCATTGAAAATGATGTCACGTGACAGATCACGTGACTTATTAACACTATGTTTATACTTTAAAATGTTAAGGATTATGAATTCTTTATGTGTGCCAAATTTTGATTCAGCACCATCGTCTATGCCAAAGTTATAGCAAATAATTCATTTTCCACAAGTAAACGCCTTAGTCCCAGGCCTTAAACTACTTGAGTTTTAGCCAATCAGAATTGGGGCAATATTTTGGATGAATAATAAACGACAATTATTCACCGAGGTAAATACCCACCACTAGCCACCAACACTGAGGTGAATAATTGTTTTAGTAAATACTAAATCAGTGAGATGATTGCGCCAAAAATTGTGATTAAAAAAAAAAAATTGTCACATTTCACAATTGTTTTCCTGTGGTGCGGACGGATGGCAAATCGGGCTGACATACGGTCACTTGACTACCAAAATTTCTTAGATGGAAAGATAACCAAATTTTCTTAGCTGTGGGGCTCGGCTCGCGCGCGTTTCGAGCAATCATTTGTTTTTATTTATATATTTTTTTAATTACTTCCGCCATTAATTGATTTATTTGCTTATTTATTCATGCAATTCCTTTCTTGGCAAATTCTGCTGTAATCCAGTTGCTAAGCTCGATCACGATATATGACGCAAGTCCAGCTATTTCCAACGTCCCACGCGAGAGAAGATGTATTCGAAGGATAAGCAGAAATATGAGCTTAACGCATTTTCTATCGAGTAAACAGGGGTAGCGACCTATTTAAGAGGCAGTCTCCCTAAAAGCGTTCCACTCGATTTTGGACTCGAAAAAACGTTTGCCTTATAACATTACCATCAACACTACTATCCATCCTAATAACGAAATTGCAGTTAGAATGAGGAAATTGTTTATTTTACTGCCATTCCCAGCATTCATTGCTGAACGACTGTTAGCGGCTAAAATATGCAAATTTTCGTCTCTGTTATACAGGTTTTTTAACGATCGTTCTAAAGTTCTTCGGGTCACCAAATCTTAGACTATTGCACTCATTTGGAAGCATATTACTTCTTCTTACTGTTCCAATACCGCTTAGGCATTATCTTTCTGTAATCAGCAAAATCTGGTCGTCTTCATTTCGCTAATCCAATTAAGAAAGCAAACTCCACGAAAAAATGCCTCAAAATCATCAGAAAATTCTCAAAAGTGGCAAAAGATTAATAGCTATTTTGTCAAGTTATGCAGTAAAACTTGTGGCACAACGCGATTGAGAATTGAAGTTTTCAACTCAAATTTAGGCAAATGTTCAATTTGCGTTGCGTGACGATACCGGCTGCTGTCACCACAGGTAACCCAGGCTCTGTGATAGTACCACAGTACGGTTCCCGTAAAATTACAGTGTTTGTATGGGGTAAAAATATCATCCTAAAATTTCTAGGAAATACTAAATAAAGATCAATGAAACTTACTCTGCAGTTAATTGTTGTTGTCCTTATTGCTCCAACGAAGTTTCGTGATAATTTGCAGTAATTTGTTCAAATTCACTCTATCTACAATAATAATATACAAGGTAGGAAACACGAGGCGCCATTTTCGCCGACATGCTCTCATTCAACACAACTTTTTCCACGAAATTCGAACTCCAACGGAAAATAAACATGCCAGGATCGTAGAAATAGGATAGCAGCAGATACAGAAACCAACGAAGCTTTCCCAGATAGAGAAACGAATCCCACAGACTTTGACAAACTCGAAAAATATAATCCAAACAGACCGAGAATATGCTCGCCGAAGCAGCCGGGCCAGATCAACACGCGGCCGAGAAAATGAGGCCTGGGCACTGTACAAAAAAAAATCATCCCGGGAGTCCTGAGGTGACCCTTCTGGGCACCGATACATCATTTGCCCAAAGCCACCCTCCCCTGCTGGAAAAATACTTAATAGAAGGCAATTGTTCTTCCTAGCCGTACCACCCTGGCCTGTTATAAAGAGATTATGTCCCTCTCGAACTATATTCAGCGCCTGGTGCTGGTCCTCAGAGAGTTTATCAAACATCAATAGGGCAAGGTTATAAGGGCAAAGGAAAGAACAACGAAGGAGGATTTACAAAACTTAAAACGAGCAAAAGATATAAGTGAATTTTGGCTCTTACTGAGGCATTTGTACAACAGGACCAAATTCAAAGAGAGGTGTATCACGATGATCCACATATTTAACCGATAGAGCGTTCACTTGTATTGACAAGAAGTCGGCGTGTTACTGCACAGGTAACCCAGGCTCTGTGATAGTACCACAGTACGGTTCCAGTAAAATTACAGTGTTTGTATGGGGTAAAAATATCATCCTAAAATTTCTAGGAAATACTAAATAAAGATCAATGAAACTTACTCTGCAGTTAATTGTTGTTGTCCTTATTGCTCCAACGAAGTTTCGTGATAATTTGCAGTAATTTGTTCAAATTCACTCTATCTACAATAATAATATACAAGGTAGGAAACACGAGGTGCCATTTTCGCCGACATGCTCTCATTCAACACAACTTTTTCCACGACATTCGAACTCCAACGGAAAATAAACATGCCAGGATCGTAGAAATAGGATAGCAGCAGATATAGAAACCAATGAAGCTTTCCCAGATAGAGAAACGAATCCCACAGACTTGGATTTTCGCCGACATGCTCTCATTCAACACAACTTTTTCCACGAAATTCGAACTCCAACGGAAAATAAACATGCCAGGATCGTAGAAATAGGATAGCAGCAGATACAGAAACCAACGAAGCTTTCCCAGATAGAGAAACGAATCCCACAGACTTTGACAAACTCGAAGAATATAATCCAAACACAAAGAATACGCTCGCCGAAGCAGCTGGGCCAGATCAACGCGCGGCCAAGAAAATGAAGCCTGGGCACTGTACAAAAAAATTCCATCCCGGGAGTCCTGGGGTGACCTTTCTAGGGACCGATACATCATTTGCCCAAAGCCACCCTCCCCTGCTGGAAAAAATACTCGATAGAAGGCAATTGTTCTTCCTAGCCAATCACCATTTGCCAGAGCAAACCCCGCACACGCGCCTGAATTTAAATGGCTAAAAAAAAAGTAATATAATCAGGAGAGTCTGCGGAGTTACAAGGCGTCCCATTTCTTTTACTAAGGAATGCAAATAACAGTAATGAAACTAATGAAATAACAACGCGAAATGCTTACAAGGCGGGCTAAAAACAAGGTTGAACAAAAGGTAGATGATGACTGAGATACTGTTGCTGTGAACTCTCGAGCGAAACTATCGTAAATAAACGGTGAAGCTTACAAACTAATGTCAAAAAGTATACAGAAAATTGCGACAGAATATGAATTACGATAACTGAGACGAATGTGAAAGGCACGTGCACTAGTAAACAAAGAACTAGCGCGATTAACATATTTAGCGATTAATGCGGCAGTAACACGCCGACTTTTTGTCAATACAAGTAAACGCTCTATCGGTTAAATATGTGAATCGTCGTGATACACCTCTCTTTGAATTTGGTCCTGTTGTACAAATGCCTCGGTAAGAGCCAAAATTCACTTAAATCTTTTGCTCGTTTTAAGTTTTGTAAATCGTCCTTCGTTGTTCTTTCCTTTGCCCTTATAACCTTGCCCTATTGATGTTTGATAAACTTTCTGAGGACCAGCGCCAGGAGCTGAATATAGTTCGAGAGGAAAATAATCTCTTTATAACAGGCCATAGTGATTGACTAGGAAGAACAATTGCCTTCTATCAAGTATTTTTCCAGCAGGGGAGGGTGGCCTTGGGCAAATGATGTATCGGTCCCTAGAAAGGTCACCCCAGGACCCCCGGGATGGAATTTTTTTGTACAGTGCCCAGGCTTCATTTTCTTGGCCGCGCGTTGATCTGGCCCGGCTGCTTCCGCGAGCGTATTCTCGGTGTGTTTGGATTATATTCTTCGAGTTTGTCCAAGTCTGTGGGATTCGTTTCTCTATCTGGGAAAGCTTCATTGGTTTCTATATCTGCTGCTATCCTATTTCTACGATCCTGGCATGTTTATTTTCCGTTGGAGTTCGAATTTCGTGGAAAAAGTTGTGTTGAATGAGAGCATGTCGGCGAAAATGGCACCTCGTGTTTCCTACCTTGTATATTATTATTGTAGATAGAGTGAATTTGAACAAATTACTGCAAATTATCACGAAACTTCGTTGGAGCAATAAGGACAACAACAATTAACTGCAGAGTAAGTTTCATTGATCTTTATTTAGTATTTCCTAGAAATTTTAGGATGATATTTTTGCCCCATACAAACACTGTAATTTTACGGGAACCGTACTGTGGTACTATCACAGAGCCTGGGTTACCTGCGGGTCTTCCAGCAATTTTATGCTGGGAATGGCAGTAAAATAAACAACTTCCTCATTCTAACTGCAGTTTCGTTATTAGAATGGATAGTAGTGTTAATGATAAAAATATAAGGCAAAAGTTTTTTCGAGTCCAAAATCGAGTGGAACGCTTTTAGGGAGACTGCCTCTTAAGTCCTTATTTTAGAGCAATTAGTTAGAGAAACAGAGGATTGTCTTCCAAACTTTTTTGATATGTCTATGTGAAATATTTCATATTCAAGATTGCTGGCAATAACAAGCATATTCAAGTTGCTTTGCGATTTACAAGAAAATTTAAACCGAAGGATACACAACGTTTCCGGGAGAAATTTAAAGCTCAAAAATACGATGAGATTACTTTTATTCAGGGTTTTATTGTACCTGGAAATGATAATAGCTGCGATAGTTATGAACTAAGGTAAAAGAAAGTACTGGAAACCAACCAAAGGGGTTTGGGCTGGGGCTAGGCAATTATTATTACTCTTCAAAATTTATTGCAAGATACAAGACTATATCACGTGATATAATATAAGTCGTGCTCCAGGAATCGTGAATCATGGCGAGCATCACAATCCTGTTTAATTTCACCTCCTTCTGAATCAGTTAAGTATTCCTCAAGACCTTCTCTGCCTTCTCATTATTTCGAATGATATATCTATATTTTTTGCTATCTTTTTTTTTTTGTTACATATTTTAATATTTTTATGCACAATATAAGGGATTAATTACCTAATCAGTTCTATTTCCATTCGTTATAGAATGTCCATAGTCTTGCAAAATTTCTTCCATGATTATGGTATCTTCAGTATTTTCAGCAGAATATGTTTTGCCAATTGGGCTGTCTTTCTCCGCTCCTTTCCTTGCTATGTTGTACCAACGTCTCTTGAGGTGAAATGTCACCAACAGTATAAAGACTGCAGAAACGAACAGTATTCCTGCCAACACGATTGCCAGGATCATCGGAACGGTGAAAAATCGCGCTTGTCGCTCTGAAAAGTGAACAACAGTGAGTTTCTACCCTTTGAAACCAGGAGTGCATGTGATGGGCACCTGTTTGAAACCCGATGGATGCGCGAGGAACGGGTAGGGGAGAAAATTAGGAAGCTTAAGCAACTACGACTACGACGACGATGACGATGACAACGACAACGTCAAAAAAAAAATTGGTTTTATTAGCAAAACAACTGCCCTGCAAGTTCATCACGCTTTTTAGTACATTTCTTTGACGTCCACTGTACGACTACGACGTGAAACCTCCCTCCTTTCTCTATTTGAACATGGATAAAGCCCTAAAGAATTCAACTCCAGGAAAATTCGTCTACATTTGACGAATTGAGCGATTCCAAAATGACTCGATAAAGTTTAAAAGGACGAAAATTAATTTTTTAGTGATGTTTTCACCGCCGTCGTCTTCGTTGTTTCTTAAGCTCTTCGTAATAAATAATGACGACAACGAAGGCGGACGCGATGATGATGATGACGATGACGACGATGGTGATGATGATGATGATGATGATGGTGATGATGATGAATGGAAAGGACTAAAAAGAAGAAGACGGTGAAAATGATCATGATTATGATGATGTCAATGAATAAGGCAACGAAGACGACGTCAACCATAATAATAATTATTATGCCTCATTTATTATACCATTAACGCCACCATGTAATTAATTCTTATTACAATATTGTTATATCCCCCTTTAAGAACGTAACTGCTAAACTGGAAACTTTAAGATGACTACAGGGAATATCGAATCTTCTACAGCGTGTTTCAAAAGTTCGTAACCGATTGTAAATTGTATTTTGCGTAAGCGTTTAAAGCTTCTTTAGACAAATGTAAACTGATTCAGGTAAGAAATTTATCTAAATAACCTTTCAAAGCGATTTCAAACTAAAATTTGAAGAAATTTTAATATTTTTGAAGTTTTGCCCCAAATGTGCATAAGCACGAGTTTTTTCCCCGCCATATTTTTCCTGCCCATTTTGTACGTTTTCTTTTTTTGTTTTTGTTTCTGTTTTTTGCCTTTTTTTTTTATTTTCTGTACACGAAAAAAGTAAAAAATGTCATTTCAACCTTTAAATCCCCAATTCAATCAGTGCGAAATTAGTTTAATGCAATAGTGTCTGTCAGTGCAGTTTTCTTCCACTGCTGCCACTTGTGAAAGGACACCAAAAGAAAAATGGAGGCATCCACAAACGCCGTTACACTTATTGCCATAGCAACGATCGTCAGTGGAGTAAATAAGTCTGCCAAGCCGGTCTTTTCTGAGAAGAGACCAGATGAGAGGGTGAATCAGATCTATTGATGAGGGTTTTGCATTTATTCCAGCCTTAAACAATGTGCAATGCAGTCCAATGATGAGACCTTTGTGTTCAAGGGCAAGGACGACTACGCGAGGAGGAAAGCTAACTTCACAAGTTTCTTTAGCAAGCGGAGCGAGTTTGTTAGGCTGCAAGCGGAGAAGTCGCGAGAGGTCGACCTCAAAGGACTTTTTTGAAAGTCTATCAAAAAATCTCGGCCTTGTAGTCAACCTTGTCCTTGAATCTAATGAGCAGCACTATAATTTAACCATCCGACGTACATGCAAATTCATACCCCCACCGTGGTACAAAAGGGGGGGTTGGTGCTCCCCCCCCCTGGGTTTTTTTGATATGCTGCAATATTTCGAAATGATTTTGCCTTCAGTCGAAAGCCTTTGATCTTCTCTACAAGATGAGGTATATTGCATGGGTGGTGCGCTGCTGGAAGTCTCTGACGTCACCAAACATGGTCGCAAAGATTTTGAGATTAGGTTGAAACAGTGAGAATTAATAAATGTTTGCGCTTAACATGAAAAATAACATAAATAATTACTTTGCATCATTCTAGTCACAAGCTTTACTTTTTTCCAGAAAGAAGTTGAAAATAACATGCATTTTCATTCATAAATGGCTTGACCACCTGCTACTTATGACGTCATATCTCGTAAACATAGTAACTGACCATCACTAAACCTGTCTCAAAATGCGCACGAGGAATAAACGAATAACTACAGAAAACTGCCGAAGCTGATGTTTTATCGTCTAGGAAAAAAATGAGAAAAACCCTTAGGGGACTTTGTACGTTCCAGGGTTAATACGATGTACAAATACAATCAAGGACCACAGCCTCCCAATGGCCTTACCTTGAGTGGCGGCTTTTGATGCGGCGCTGGTTTGAACTAGCACTGATGCCAATGCAGTCTGAGAATTCCATACATACAACACAAATTTATAAAGTGTTGATGGCTGCAACTCCGACACAGTCACGTGATTGTCTTTAAGACCCTCTCTTCCAGGCCAATAACGAATGTCACTGCCGCAGGTTTGCATACATTGGTGTTGTATATTGTCTCCTCCATCTTCGCATTTGAAGCACATTATTTCGTAGCGATCATAACTTGAAAACTTGTGCGGATTGTCAACCGTTCGCCATGTGAGAACGGCCGTGGCATCGTCAACATAAGTTTTATCTAGAATCATTTTGGCTGCAAAAGATTTCATTTATTATGTCCAATAGGAATCTTTATATCTACAGAATTACCACTTTTGATGATTAAAACGAGCAAACAAAAAAGTCTTTGCATTTCTTAAAATCAGGACAAGAAGAATAACGCAGGAGCAAGGATGGTACAGTTTTCTGGTGAATGGTCTTCCGGGTACAGGAGGGTTCGAGTTCTTATTTTTTTTTTCCACCATTAAATAGCTCGAAATATAATGCTAATGAAGAGATATGCGTATAAATAAACGAACTAACGTCCCTCTTCGCCCCCCCCCCAACCAAAAATGAATGAATGAATGAATAAATAAATAAATAAATAAATAAATAAATGAATAAACAAACAAACAAACAGACAGACTTTCCTATCCTTACCTGAAATTTTCGTTCCAAACTGAATCTCTACAATTCTATTGGAGTTCGGTCCATATAAGTAACTCACACCATTTTCTGCGGCAACTCTTAAAACGTACGACGTGTTTGGCTGAAGGCCGGTCAAGGTCACGTGAGTCAATTTGTTGTTTTCTTTTTTTGGCCAGTATTGCATTCTGCCATCGCAAGGCTGTCTGTTGTTACAGTTTCCATTTGAATCGCACTGAAAGCAAGTGATGTCATATACCACATCTGATCGTCCTCCGCTATCTGATGGTGGCATCCAAGCCACTACAATTACTGACAGATCTTGAAATATAACTGACAAGTTTCTTGGTGCAGTAGGGGGTGCTACACAGGATTAAACATTGAGAGAATAATTAACATAAAAACAGCTAATGTTTTATGCATCTGTCCGTTTTAAAATCTCTTTGAGGAAATCCGTCCCCGTTGCCTCTTCCCATTATACTTATATATTTTTTTAATACTAGTAACTTTATTTATTTTTTTATTTATTTATTTATTTAAATTACCAGCAAAATAAGTTACATTGGGTTGACAAAATTTACAAGATATTCACTTTTTTAAACAAGCAGTATTTCTATAAGACTAAATACAATTAATATTGTCAGTATAAATTATAACTGACTTTAAAGACATGGGCAAATAACACAAACTAGTAGAGATTTAAGCTCGAAACTTTTCTCATTTTTTTTTTTTGTTTATCGTTATTATCATTCATCGTCGTCATAACTATTAATTTTTTATCAAGTTCGTCATCACGTGATCTACGCGTCAATACAAAGCAAAGCATGGTGACGCCACAGCTGTGTTTTGCAAGAACACTTCCCTGCCGAATCAGCGCACGGGTATTATCTTTTACATTATTCTAACATTGACCTCCAAAAAAAAATAGCCATAACTATTTACCCCTTGCTATCAACGCATGACGCGAGCCTATGTAACATGAAGTATCCGAGTAGCTAAAAGTCTTTTAGTATGACGCCAGTGTCCCAAACTGAAAGTTACAGCATACCTGAGCATTTGCCATCCTTGTTATCTTTTGGTCCTCTGTAATAACCTGAGTTACAGACACAATTCTGTTTGGAATGGTCAGAATTGCTGTTCTCTGGACACGCAGTGCACACCGAATTACTAAGCACTTGCTTGTAAGTACCGGGAGGGCAAGCTATAAGAAATACATATAGCGACGTCAGGTAGACGAAGAACCACTTTGTGGATTTGCTACCTCCAAATCATTATTTATTTATTTAAAATTAATGAATGAGGCTGAGTATCTTATGAAGAATTATGGAGATCGAGGAGGGTGTTATCCGTCAAGGCCGTGGGCCGAGGCAGATAACACCCTCCGAGATCTTCATAATTCTTCATATGATACGAAAGCCGAATTCAAACACCATTTAAGAACCCGTATTTAAGTTGCAAACCAAAGCAGGAGACATCCCAAAGAGTCTCTTGAAATGGAACTCCAATACCCAATATACGGGGCATGTATTTGAATTTGCCGCTAAAGGTGCCAACATAGCACTTAATGTTTACTGAAAAAACACATTACTACAAGGAGTTCTTTGAAAAACATCAATGCGTATTGAAAAAAGAAAAATGTAAATGTTCAAATTGTAAATTTCAGTCTCTGTCACTCCCGCTCTACTGATCGCAAAATTGACGTTATTCACTAATTTACTAACATGTTTTGCCTTCCAGCAGCTGTTTCAGCTTGTGAACTAGACAAGAACTCCATACAAGTTTCCTTGTTTCTTATTTGTTTGAGTGTTAAAGCGTGGTAGGGCGACTATGTTAATTAGAGCAATCAGTCAGTCCGTAAACCCTGGGCCATTCTCCATGTTCTTTAGATACAATTCAAGTAGACTTACCTTGGCAACCCTGAGAAGTAATTTGATAGCCAGGTTTACAGAAGCACTTCGCTTCATTCTCAGGTTTTCTCCAGCTTCCGTTGCTAAGACATTCTATATACAACGATGTTGAATTGCGCAGACTTGCTGAGTTCACCCCACAGTTTCCATACACCTTTAGAGCACCACCAAGAGGAGGAGAAGGGGTTCGGCTATAACTTGCCCCTCCAATTATCTGGGCGGGGCATACGTTATAAGAGACTCGAACTTTACCAAGAGCAATACAGCCACCAGTATCCTGAAATCCCAAATAAATTCCCCTGGTCTGGACACTAAATTGGGCCGTTGCGTTGTTATAGATTCTGGCTTGACCTGATGACCAAACATTCAGTGCTCTAATTTGAGACGCTAGAGAGAAGTGTCCTGTAAGAATAGTTGACTTTTGCACTCCAGATGGGACTATGCTGTCTGTCTGGTAATAATGTAAGTTGAAGGATTGTTTACAGAAAGGTAATGATTGCAGATCGCATTCCCTTGCAGTAAATTCCACATAAACTGTCACAGATATAGCGCCTTGTAGGTCGATAAAGTTTGATATCAACCAGCTGTTCGTACTTTTTGTTGCGGTTTCTTGGAGATCACAAACCAAATACTCGCCTGTCTGCGAACTACGACTCCACTTAAACAAACAAAGTAAAATAAATAAGTAAATAATAAATAAATAACCTATTTATTTATTTCTTTGAATAACCGCAGCATTTGGGACCAAAAATTGCAAATAAGTGCCCTAATAAGCGCGGCAACCTCGAAATAATTATCGGTACGTTTTTTGGGAGAATCCAAAAACGGATTTGTGATCCCAGATCATATGGATTCTTCACTACCAAAAAAAACGAAAAAAAAAATCATTTACCACGACAGAGGCATGTCCTCGTGCTCCTCGTGATGAGAAAAATAGAGGAAAAAAACAACAAATCGATCCTCGCAGCAAAGACAAGAAGGAAAAGCAACATAAACTACGTATGAAATATACCAAATGTATATATTTCGTTTGAAACAAAAAACGTTTTATCGGATAGTAAACTCTTTAGAAATGTAAAATTATAAGAATTTAAAACTGAAACCGATAATCAGTTTAAGTAAGCAGACATTACATTCGTACAAAAGGCATGACAGAGTTAGGCGGTTTAACGCAGCCTACGTTATGTCATGTAACCAATGGCTAAAAGTTAAGGCGCCACCAACATATATAGGTTCAGTTAGAATGTCATATATGTACGACATCTGTTGCGTACCATTTTTTTTTTTTTTTCGAAAAACCGCTTGTCAAAAATACTTTTTTGAAATCCTTTCCCCCCCAAAAAACGCTAAGGTTGTGAATCTCAAAAACCCAGATTTGTATGTGATCCGAAGAACCCACCCTGGGTGTGGATTTTATTGGTTCATTGTCCGTTTTTAGATTTGTCCCCCAAAAGTGAAAAATCCCTTTTTGGATTCGAAAATCCGGATTTGGGTTTTCCCATAAAAAGCACCCATAATCACATTCATCAAACAACGTTGATTCAGTTACTTTAGGGACTGGTCAAAAAGTGTAGGGAGGTGGGGGGGGGGTGGGCCGGAGCAGAGAGTGGGTGTGTCATGAGGTTTTGAGCCTTGTGCAAGGGGTGGGTCGTGCAATTTTCGGCTAATTTTAGGGGGTTGGTCACCCTATTTTATTACATAGATAGGTACTAACTACTAATGAGACAGTTGACTACACTTGTTATATAAAACACAGCCAGCTGTAATTACTGCTAAAATACTCACAAACCTGTTGTGCGAGAAAATACAAAGGTTGGCAGGCCGCACATCTATACGGGCGTGGAACCCTCTGTTGACCTTTTTTTTTTGGCTCTAACAAGCATGTCCTTTAATGATTTTCCTTTTTTGTAAGGAAATGATTGGTGGTTCTTTAAAAATTTATTAAAGTTATAGTTGGTTTTGTATATGATTCCATTTTTTCATTCAAGCTTCCTTTATAGTAGACGCTGAGGGCTGGTATTGTGTCACGAATGGCAATATTTCTTTTTCCTCCTTGTTGCTTTGTTTTAGGAGGTTAAACTCCCTTTTGTGAATTTTATTTCTGGTATTAGGTTTTCTATCAAAGATTGTCGGTAGCCTCCGTCCATCAAGCGTTTTTTTTTTTTTGTTTAATTTGAATTATTTTCCTCAAAGGTTGTTTCTGAGGAGTTTTTTCGTAGGATTCTCTGACAAGGTTTCTCCTTTGACAAGTCCTTTTTTAACATTTGGAGGGTGACACGAGGTGAAATGTGTGTGCAAGAAGGTTTCCGTTTGTTTAAATGTGTCTTTGCATCAAGAATAGATTTTTCCTTGAATCTTGTGCCTTTGTATACAACCGTGTCTGAAAACGCAGTCTCAGTGTCAAATGTTTCGGCCGTGAATTCAGTAGTTGGGTGATGTAAGTTTGCTTGTTCAAAGAAGGCTTCGATGTCTGGTTTACTCATGTCCCATAGGGAAAAGATATCGTGCATGTAGCATTTCCAAACTGTTGTTCTAAAGACAGTTTTGCTTAGAGTTGTTGTTTCAATGTATGTCATGAAAATATTGGTAAAGGAATCAAATCTACTGTCTTTGTGCCCATTGCAGTTCCATGGTTTTGTAAGTAGTCCTTGCCATTGAAGTGGAAGAAATTTTCTTTGAGGATCGATTAATCTAAGCATTTCCAGCAAGTAATGTGTAGGAATGGGTTGTCTTTGTAGAAATTTTCATATGCTTTGTGACAGACAATTTCAATATACCCTCGTTTTGCTGTATATTTGCATGTGTCAAGACTCATAACGTCCATCAAAGCAAGAAATGTTCGGTTTTTCACATTTGTCTTTTCAGTGAAAGGTATGATTTCTGTGATTTTGATATTGGCTGTAGCAGTGTATCAACAAATTTTGTCAAGCACAGAACAAGGTTTTATTGGATTATTAAGAGGAAACCAATCACCCATGTTTTAACTAGGGGGTGGGTCATGTAATTTCCAACCTTCATTTAGGGGTGGGTCAGTCATTTTTGTGCTTAAGGGAGGGGGTGGGTCATGTGTTTTTTATCAACCACATTTCCAAATGCTCCGGTCCACCCCCCCCCCCTTATGCTTTTTGACCAGTCCCTCAATACAAACATAATTTTTTGTGTCCAACTTTTCAATAAACTCCGCCATCGAATAAGGGGCGCATTTGAGACGTAGAGTTTTTATTAAGTAATGCAGCACTTATTCAAGTAAATACAGGAAACGGAAAACACATACCAATAAACACAGATATAAAACTTACCCCACTTCCAGTCGTCAGTTCATAAGTTGTAAGCCAGTCCCATGACTGGTGGTATCTGGAGTGATCATCCAAAATAACTGAAAAATGCAAACAAAAATGTAAGACAATTTAAGCCCAGTGATGACCGTTCCACTATTCCAGTAATCTATTTTGTTCGATAGACCATCACATTGTACAGACAGAAGGCTGTTCACAGTCCCCTCTTTTTTCGTGAGATCGTCGGGATATAGCGCGTCTTACTGTTAATGGCGGCCACCATGATTTTCAAATGTACCGAGGGGGAGGGGGTGGGGGGTGGCGTCGGAGATTAACCACCCCCTAAGTAGTTTTGACACTCATGCAAGATAGCAGGCGTACAGATACAAGTTTTACCGCCAGAAATGATTTACACGATGATCACTCGTTTGGACGGCTGCATTATAGTCTCGCAATGATTACAACTCGCCCGACATTTCCTCTCTAACGTGAAGCTGCATGCAGGTTCAACTATGACCCGTGTTACAAAACAATAACAAACCGGACTTGGATGTTTACCAGGCCAGCTTTTATTTTAATTGGAAATCGTGCGTTGACGTAGTTGCTGTGGTCACAATATATTAATCATTTAGGCGTATTCCTTTCTAACTACTGCGCCTTTAATGCACCAAAAAAATCTTATTTCATCAGGTGCCTTATTGCATTTTCTAAAAAAAGAGCAAAACAAAACAAAACAAGACGTTTTACAAACCTGTATCCGAGGTGACCGGCGGAATTGGGAAAACAGCGTTGATCAAGAGACCGAGAGCAAATGCCTTCTCACCACTGAACACGAACATTTGCACCTTCATTGGAGAAAAGAAAGAAAGCTGTTACTAGAGATGAATATTTCGTGTTTTGTTGGTTGGATTTGCTTACTGGCTATCAAATACAATGTGAAATGATATAAATATGTCACGACCGTGTTGAATTACGAGCAGAAGCATTCATGAGAAGCTGACCGGCTCAAGAAACAATTTATCAAATAACAAGTCTGTTTATGTTTATCGATTATCACTCTCGTAGCCCGTCTTCCAAAGTAAACACACAATCGAATCAAAGCGGTTAATATGTAACAATACTATAGTGTTTCCCTTGTTCGTAACCCATTTTCTGCTTTATGGATAATGATTTGTAATCACAAGATTACTAGCCATGAATTGCGGGAAAAAAAGCTGCCATTTTTCTCAAATATATTCGCCCGGTATTTTTGTCTGTCACTGATAGAAATATTCACTTAATATGTATGGCAAAGAGTCAGGCAAAGACTCAGGCATGTGTACTATCTTATATTATTTAATTGCATACCATTCACCAGACTGTTTAATACCCTCATAAGGAACAATGATAGGGCGCGCTGTTTGATGGGCAAGAAAACATGACCCCTCGGTTTCCACACTTTTCAAGTAAACGAGTTACGAGCAACGGTCCCAGCTAGTATCTCGAGTGATCTTAATTTCGCCAGCCGCTCGTGAAAAAAGGATTGAGGGAGGTTGCTCGCAGGAACGCTGATTGGCTCCAATAAACCGCGAATTCGTTTGGTGGTGCTAATAAAAAAAAAACTTTTTTATTAGCACCACCAAACGAAAAAAAAAAAACTGATTTATTAGAAAACTCATTGTATGACAATGGAAAGATCGATCTGCTTCTCTGAGCGTCGAGTAGTGTTTGCCTAGACACAATAAAACGAGATGCAATTTTTCCACTGTTTTGCTTAGGAATTTAGGAAATCATGACAGTTTTAGTTTCAAGTACCCTCGTTCTAGCTTTCACAAACAGCGCAAATAAGTATAACTGAGTTGCAAAATCAAATTGTGGAAAGAGAAAATAGAGTGCTGCTCCGGTTTTTGATCAAATCATGGTTGATAACGCTTTCTAGCGGATAATTAAATATCATAACAAATATAAGGGTCATAAGGGAAACCAGTTACGCAATCCACTGGATAAAGATTGATCCAGTGCAAGTGGATAGCGTTATGCATGCATTTCGGTTTCAAACAACTGCGTCCTGAAAATATGCACTTTTCCATCTCGAAGCATTTCAAATGTTTTCTAAAGAGGAGCTAGAGGAGTGATATTTGGGGGCAAAACTTCCCGCACATAATCAGGTATCGCCACGAAATGAGGAACGATGATAGAATAATGAAAGAATTTGTACGAATCAACCAGGTTGTGTTGATACGGTAAGATTCTAAGAGATGGTGCATTTGAGGGTGTTACACTGAAAATACTGTCAATAAAGATCAACTGAGAACTAGAAATAAAATCAAGCGATTATAATCAGTAACATGTGCTTACCCAGCCTGATAAAACAGCAATAAACTATTTAGTTAATAGGTTCAGATTGCAGATGTACATTCGTGTGATCTGTCTATCGAGTAAGGGAATGATTGTTAATGTCACTCCATGCATGGCAAGCAGGTATTTTGGAACATCTATGTGATGTTCCCTCCAAACAACGAATACGTGCTTCAATTGAACCGACTTGAAATAAAAATATATTTTTAAACAGTAGAATTATATACCGTTCAAGTGTTGTGTAAACAAAATCTTTTGTTTTTGTATGACATGAAGACCTTTAGCAAATAGATTATGTACCCTTTAAATTCCTTCCTTTCCAGGCAACTTGATTTTAATTATATTTAACATTGATTTTGATTGATTTTGACAGGGTTGCCTTGTTGTTAATCATAATTATAATTCATCCGGCATTAAGCAACGGACCGGCCTTTTGCTGTGATGAAAAATCGTAACCTGCGGCGTATACACCCGTCCCCCAGGCTAATAAGCAACCCCCATACCAATAATAAGTCAAAACGTATTTTGATCAGTAGTCATAGCTTCTTTCAAAGTACTCTCTCTACTCTGGTTATCAGCCCCCATCCGTTTATAAGCTTCCTAAAACCCCATACGAAAACGTGCAAGCCTAGGGCTTATAAGTGGTTAAATGTATTTATCATGGGTTATGTAACCCTTTCTTTCAGGTTGTTACATTGTTATGCTGTTACATTTGCTTCATTGGCGATAGGCTATATATATTTGAGTTGTTGTCATATATTCATTCGCGTCCTACGGCCGTACCTACGACCCAGTGGCTAGGGGTTATCAGTTTCTCTTACTTTTAGACGTAGTCCTTACATGCTGCTATATGAAAGGTTTAGCACTTTTATGGAATCATTGTTGCACGAGCATAGTTTAGATCGTTTTTTAGGGTTCTTTTCTTGCTGTATTTTTTATATTTCCGAGTTTTGATTCTGTTTGTTGAATCATTCCCATCCATTTTGTTGATGAAGGCATAACTTGATAAAGAGTGTCTCACCCGGCTCGTGTGACACACCCCAATTGTGGTTGCTTATTACATAATAAATTTTCTATATTCGTTTTAGTTGAGTAGCGAATTAGAATATTTAACAATTATTCCTCGAAAAATATAGTAGAATACAACTAGTTGGTAAGAAATATCGAGACAAATCATCTTCAGCTAGCAAAACGTAATTCAACCGCCATTGTTTTGATTCTCAAAGCCGACGCTTTTCGCTACTACTGGGCTATAACAGATAGCCTAGTAGTAGCTCAACCAATCAGAACGCAGCATTGATAATAGATCACTAGTTAGATTTTATTAAAAATAGATATTTAGCAAGGATGAGCTTAGTAATAACTGACTGAGAGAAAGAGTCAAATACCAGGTATCATTTATGGTCACTGATTTAAAGTGGATGCTACCCTTCAGTCCATTGGTCTTCAGATTGAAAAAGAAAAATGAGTAAATAAAATAAAATCAACTAAACAAATTAGTATCATTGGTGTGAAGAATTACTTCTTAATTCTGGCGCGAAATTTCAGAGTTAATTTGTAATTTCACATGTGAAATTACGAAATTGTCATGGCAACCTTCCGTACGTCTTAGTGTCAAGATGGCGACGAAGTTTTAAAATGGCATTTTGTGTTTTTGTTTTTGAAATGTCATGAATGAAGAGGGCAGGGCATAAGAAGACTCTTTAGAAAACCTGATCACACGAAAAAACACTTCAAGAAGGATTCTAAAAGTTATTTTGTCTAAAAGTACTGAATACTCTGAGCTTAAGCCAAATGCTCTAAACGTTTGAGAGAGTGGATTTAATATTTCTTTCGATCGATACGATCCAGGATATATATAGGCTCGATTTCCGAACAGCGGCCGGTAATCGAGCCTAGGATATATAGACATGTCAAAAATCACGATTGCTGACGATTTCGTCTCCCATGATGTTAGAAAGTATCATCGTGAAATTAGGGAATAATTTCACGCGCGTTTTGTTTAAATCCTAATAATTTCCCAAGCCGTTTACTCTCGCCACCATTTGATTACACATATAGTTGTAAAAGAGGAATAATAATGCAAACGAATCACGTGAGCAAGCGTGAAGGCCACGCTTGGGAAGAGAGAAAATGTAACCTAGATCGACATGTAATACCTCTCTCTGCATTGACGGAAAAGGCAATAATATGACAACAACAACAACCTAAACGTTTGTCTCATTAAGAAAATAAAAATGCAAGCGCGTCAAACGATAAGCCAATATTTACGACAACAACAGCGATACTAGCATCGTTTTCGCGATTTTTGGACGTGCTGTTTGCCAGATGTTTGCAATTTTTCGGCGCTGTAGCTTCTTATTATTTCCTTTCAATAGATATACATTACGTCAACATTTTCAAACAAGCTACATTCTTTTTGACTCTGCTAAACATTTTCGAGAAACTCCACAACCGTCGTTTTTATAACCCTCTGTTTTCTAGAACCTCTTTTACATTATGACGGAGAATAATAAATCCTTTTATTCATATTCTTTTTTATTGTTTTTTCCTTTTTTTTTCTTCGTCTTTTCGTTTGGCCATTTATTTTTTTATCTTTTATCTGTACCCATTGTTTTTTTTTTCTTTTTTTACGGACACGAAAAAGATCAGTCACTTGGCTCCGTAATGGTTAATCAAGAAATTCCATGTATCTCCTACATATGAACATACATGTAAGGCGCCTAAACTCATCCTCGTTTATAACTAATAGCAGGTCTTAACACATTACAACGAAAATATTTCACTTAGATAAGGCAACCCAGAAAATTCAATGAGTAAAACTCATAATAAATCAGGGAATCCTAATACAAAACAACTTTGATTTTTAGCTTGAGATCTATTTCTTTGCATGACAGAAAAACCTGAAGTAACTTGACTGGTGAACACAGAAGTTTAAAGACAGCGTTAAGAAATACGAGCAAAAGAATCAATTGCTTTTATCCGAAACTTCTAAAGGAAAATAGTTCAGACAGCAACGCCATTAGTAGTCATTTGCAACATCTTAGGCAAAGTTTGGAATTTGCCGATTGTAAGTCTTTATGTAAGTCATATCTTCACCACTAGTCCTTAAAGCGTAAGTCAGATTCACCAACTATTGACTGGCCTTTTGAAGTGTATTATGTCATTAAATATTATTTGGTGTGTAGTATTGCTGAGTCCTTTACTTATTGTTTGTATTTTGATTCACCAGTAAGACGTATTTAACGGTTTTGAACTGAGAGGTTTACAGCGATAACTACCAATGTAAGGTCCCTTTTTTTTCTTTCGTAAATTTGCTCTTTGGCTAGTGAATGCTTTTTAAAAACAGTATATGCATATTAATTGTAAAAAGAAAAATAATAAAATAAAGAAGGAAATGAAACTTTTCATGTAGCACCAAAGATCAAAGAAACTAAGTTCTAATCTTAACTGAAAGGTTGACTTCCTCCATTTATACAGTGATTAGTAGCTTAAACGACCAGTAACTATAAATGACTCAATGTGTCTTTTTGCTGCAGAAATGGGTAATCTAAGTCATTTTCCTTTTATCTCCCATTCACCACAATTAAAGGATAACATTGCTTATTCCCTTCAAGGTTCCTTTGAGGTATTTTATAATATTTTATTCGAATAGAATGTTACAAACAAAGTAAGAATATCAAGTGATTTTCTGGCCGACACAGTCATACGATAGAAAAATATTTTTTGTCAAAGAGATGGGCTAATTGATTACCGGCATAATTCTGTACGTTTTGTTATATTAACCTCCGCTAACCCATTATAATGGCTTTGAATTCGTTAAATTACTTACGTATTCTTAAATGATATCCCTTTACCAGCTGATTAATCCAGGGATTAACAGTACCTGTCTTTTAAAATAGTCTATTCCCGAGAGACCACGACGTATCAGAACCTCGCTTAAAAAAGGTACCAAATGGTGTTGGGCTTTTCGCTTCAGACTTTGTCCTGGACTTTCTAGTAACGGCACGTACAATTTCAGTTTGGTATTATTCATTGATCAAACCAACCACGGACCGTTTCTGGTTTGATTACATCCAGAACGTGCAATACGGCTTTTATCACCTGTTTAACGCACCACTAACCAACCGACCTAACCAATGACATCACTCCAAACAATTCATTCAATGACGTCCTTTATTACTAGGCAGTCCTTGCAGATTTAATTTGCATAATTCTTAACTACAAAAGAAAAGTGCGTAAAGCAAAGCGTTTCAGTTTTAGTGGCGTGTATGACATATACTGTCACTCTGTGCAACTATATTCTTCAAGTCAGTAAAAAATCGTACAGTTTCATGACCCTCTGACTTCGGTTCGTGCTCAGGACAATTAAACTGCGATATTATAACTTTGTGCTTGGGTTGATAGAAACCGCCAAACCTTTTGACTTGTACGTGTTAAAATAGCAAGAATGAGAATAGCATGGTGTCAAGCATTTCTTGGAGTAGCCTTTATAGCTTTACTTAACCGCTCAAAATTGAAAGTCAGCTGCGAGACCGGTACGTATAATTTCATTTAAATAATGACTCTCGGCTCTAAAAATTGGTCACTCAGTAACTAGTGTTATATCGTTCCTTACTTGGCGATTTCCTGTTTTAGAAATACTCCTGGACAGGAACCAAAATTCGTCGTGGTACTGGCTAACACGTCTCGAGTTTGGACCGTGGAGTGGGGTAAGTGTTTTGCACGTTAAGACGAAAAGAAATAAAGGCCTTAAAACTGAGGCAGGTTACTAAGTGTGTTGCCCAGAGAAGGTCATGTCCGATTCGCAACTTTGATCTTACCATCTAGTTTTTGTCAGTATTGTGATGCTTATCAAACCAAAGGAAATCAAATATATTAATATGCACTGGCAGATAATTTTTTCCAATATATTAAAAAAATAGTAAGAATATGTAGGAGGGAAAAACATGAAAATTTTGCAAGGTATACACCAGGAAGATAAATAGAGGGAAGTTTGATTGTTTTTTTTTTAGTTAAGCTTTGTTTCCGTATATGAAGTTCAAGCTAGAATTACTTCTTAGCAACGACATTTGGCGACCCACCAACCACACAACTGTAAGAGGGGAAATGTACATTAGTTCGACTGCCTTTGTAGTAGCTTTTGAAGTTCTGTGATGACCGTGACATGTACTGAGATTTATAGAGATTTTTAATATCGCTTTAATATGGCTAATCATTTACTTTAAAACAATATTGCCTTTTAGGTCACTGATATAGTATCGCTGGAGTAAACGCCAGGTTTAAGGGCTTAATATATATTCTCAGCAGATTTAAGTTATTTATTATACATACCAATAGATTGTGTAGAACATTTCAATCAAAAAATTATAAGCGTGACTGGACATCACAAAGGCAAGAAAACGACATTAATATTCTGTTCACTTTGAGCGATACAACAAAATATCAACACTGCATGAATTCATCAAGGATTTCGCAGTATAGAATCAAATCGGGACAAACCGTAGTTGAAGAAATAAGCTTACATAATACTTGATGGTATATTTGGCCGGTGGAACTACTGCATGAAATAGTAGGGACTCCTTCAAAAAGAGAAGATTATTAAGTAAAGCTATAAAGGGAAGCGAGCAGTCCGATTTAAGCTCATTTGTTTACTTTTATAATAAAAATACATAATGATTTGGGTTGCTTTATTTACATTTATTTGCAAACGACGTCAAGCACTGTCAAATGTGTATTGAACGTGTGCACACATACAACACTGAGCACACCTTATTGCTTACGAAATGTAAAAAGACCTCCTCGAATGTTTAATCTGAGTAATTAAAGCCCACCCTCGTACTATTGTTGCGTTTTGATCATGTTAGAAAACCGTGCGGTTCATGCATTGTAATGTTCACAAAGGCATCAGCTGTAATATGTATAATTGAAACGAAAATGTACTTTGAAAAAGGTAATGAAGTTTGGAAGCATTGTACGGCGGTTATCCTCAGTGTATAATAGGTATGAGCTGAATGGTGATGAAGGCATGCCTTGCTCATTTTGTCTACCAAGGCATGCAAGCATTTTTTTTTTTTTTTTTGAACTATCACTTCTAGTGTAATCAAGGTTACCGAAATTATATGATAGGAAAAAAAAGACAAAAAAAGTTTAACATTGAATACCGAAAGAGATGGAAGAGATGACGCATTGAATTGGGAACTTGTTTTCCCAATCACTGTACTGTACATATAACGATTACATTCCTCAGCTATCTGTGCAAAACGTCACTGAATACGTGTACTCCGTAAGCCAACTAATTACAAAGCCTTATATATTGTACGCATCAAAGTACAAAAAAAAAGAAATCGAAAAAGGTATTTGAATGTAGAAAAACGAAACCTCCTACTTCAATAATGCCACGAATAAAAAATGGTTTAACTGAGCCAAGAATTGGAGTATAGGAATGTAATGTGCCAGTACTATAAGCTTTTAAGTCAACAAATTACTTTGCAAGGCTAATATTTGCCTTGTACAAGGCACGTGCAGTCCTGTAAGCACATTTAAGGAATCAAAAACGGACACAAAAAGGTCACTGTACCCAGGCTTTGAGAAAGAATCATTCAATGCCCATCTCTATCATGTTACCGTAATTATTTGATATCTAAGGACGGCACCATGGTAGCTGAAAAACTCTCTCCAGTGATAATGGTTATGACGCAAAGGACCGGATTAGATATATTGGTACTTGATACGTTTACAGGCACACGTACAGGGCCTAGTTTGGATGTACGACAACGGTTATAATTAAAGAAACAGCTCTGTCTTTAATAGTGTTGTGGTAACGTAAAAGTAACAACAGCCTAGTATAAGAAAAACAAATCTAGGAATCTACAGCTGCAGGTGACAAAATGGGAAGTTGAAAACAATTTGTCCAGAACAAAAGATATATCGAACCAGGGAATTTTTCATAAACGTTGTTCATTTGAGTACGGATGCCTTGAAGTTCAATTGTCAGCATAAAAGACGTCTATGCACATATCACTTTAAATTCGGAGACCAAAAATTTATTTTACATCCTAAGATAAATGAAGCATACCTTGATTGGGTTCTACATTTGGGCAAAAACTTTTAATTAAATTTTACATTATATACCTTTTAATGCGGCGTTTTTGTGCTGGGGGCAACCGATACCCCCTACATAGCCTAAAATAAAACAAAATAATTCCAATAGAGATCACGCGCGCCTTTTTAGTATTCTTTCATAACGAAGTCCTCGGTGTAACGGACGATTTTGTTTACCCCGGTAATAGTTAAACATATGGAAAAGTATCTCGCTATAACGCCGAGTTTAAGTCCCTTGGCACTTCGTCATATTCCGAGGTTTCACTGTATTCACAGCAGGTCTGATTCACAGGGACTTCAGTACCCTGGTACTGACATCGGCCCGTTTCCGTTGATCCAAAATGACCACGATGTTTGAGTTGAATTTAATCGTACCTTCGTGAACATTTCATCTAATGTTTCAGGGCCGTCTTGTTCGACAAACCTCAACAGTCTCATTTAAAAGGTTTAGCTCAGCAGTGTTGGAATTTACAGAGTTTTCATGGCGTTTTCGACAATGTGTTGGCAGTTTATTTAGTAATAATATAGACATTGCCAATGCTGCTTTTTAGTATGAGCTGCGGAATTTATAATACACTTCACTCAATTATTATTATTTGTGTTTGTTTATTTAAAATCTCCTTTTACTTGGCCATTAGCTTTGAAACGAAATTTGATATTAGGTACGGTATTTTACTGTAAAATGCGCATGCTCATTCAGCACTCGTATTCTCTCCGTTGCCAATATACTGAAGGTTTTAATCATTGTAAATAGCCAAATTAAAACCACTTACAACATTTGAATGCCCCTTAAATAGGTATAAGGACAATAGTGGGTACAAAGAACCAAATTTATAACATTTGAGCCACTTCGTCAGAAAATAAAAGGATATGGCTCCATGGTGTCTATAATAATTGTTACCGTCGAAAATAGTTGGCGCCAGAATGATATAGGGAGTGTCAGTTTGCGGCTTTTAAAATAGATTAAGATGCACTGGTTTTTAAGCGGTTTGATTGTATTGGAAACCGTCCGCAAAGAGACTAAAAGCATGTGAGCTAAAATAAGTTGTTCTATAGCAAACAATCGACGAAATTGTCGTTTCGTTCGGAAAAATAAAACAGGGTAAGCTTTCTCAAACGAAGCAGTGAGTGCGAGCAGCAGGGCATGTAATTGTCATAAACATACTTTTTTGACACGGGCACTAACGATTCTAAAGCTTCATTTAAGCCATTAAAAAATTTGTTTCTTACTGAGGACCCTGGTGCATTGCCGAAGTGGGATCTTAGCTCGTCTTGAAATTACCTAAAACAAAACAACAAGGAGCAACTTGAGTGCTAGCGCTCTTGAACTTGAATTCGGTTAAGGTGGCTCCGAATCCACCTTATAACAATTAAGTTAAATATTGATCAGTTGACTAAAGACTCGCTACACGAGGGTCTCTATAAAAAGAACTTTTCGGAATGAAATTTTCTTAAACCTGACAGTAGAGGTGTTTCTAAAAGGTTACTGTACTGAAATTATTGTAACTTCTTACACTAAGAATACAGTAGACTACCGATAACTCGAAACTTCTAAAGGAAATTGAAAAAGTTCGAGTTGCTGGGAATTGCAAGTATCATACACACTTCATCACTTCAAGGGCAGCAAGAATCCGAGTAGATTGAACAACAAAGCTTGATTGGGACCGGCTCTGAGTAAAGACAAAGAATTGACACAGCTTGACAAGTTTGTTTTGAAATAAATGCAATGTTTCTGCGGACTTCAGTATACTCTTTTTGTTGTTGTTGTTGTTGTTGTTGTTGTTTTTTTTTGACTTGCGAAGTGATTAAAAAATGGTTCGAGTTATCGAGGCTAAACTTTACAAATTGTCTGAAGGCCAAAGAAAATTACTTCGAGTTAGCGGGGGTTTCGAGTTATCAAGAGTTTGAGTTATGGGAAGTCGACTGCATTGCCATACCTCACTGTTTTCACAAACCTACTTAAAAATAAATATGTTTCAGATAAATTTGCAAAGATATCCCGACAACACCTAGGATGGCAGTATTAGCTGACATTTCTCTTATCAGTTGAAGTCCTGGCCTTAATCATGGTGCTCTTTTCATCTCCGTTTAAAAGCTTCCCTGCCTGCCTTTTAATAAATTCACATGGCTCGTTTCAAAACGTTTGATTGTTTTCTTTTCATTTACGTTTAAATATACGCTTTTGTGATTACTTTTAATAACTGAACTTCCAAACTGAAATCATTTAAAGCTACTGAATAGCATGATAATAATCTTTTTTCTCTTATTACAGTGGTCGCGTGGTGGTGAAAGTGAAGGTTACAGCGTTTGCGATTTATCGGAAACGGCAAACAACCACACAAATAGCTGGCTTGTCTCTGAATACATTGATCTACAAGGAGCAAACGAAGTGCATTTAAAACTTTTGTTCACAATCAGACAGTGTCCATCGGTGTTTCTCTACTGCAAGCAGGCTTTCACCGTTTTTAAACTACAAACAAATGGACCTGAAATAGGTGGAATCACCAAGAAAGACGTTCTAACGGGAAAATTCAGTCATGTGCAAACTGTTAATGCAACCCATGTCTGGACGCCTGGGGCTGTCCCACGCATGAACCAGGCAAACATAAACGTGGCTGTAAATGGTCGAGGTATTTATCTTGCATTTCAAGACACAGGAGCCTGCCTATCACTCGCATCCGTCGTTGTATCGTACACGTACTGCCCCAGTGTGATAAAACACGGCGTTCTCTTTAACAAAACTTCAGCGCCTCAATCCAGCCTACATAACGTGACAGTTAAGGGAACATGCTCTAGTGGAGCCTCCCCGTATCCTAGCAACAGCTTACTTACAGCGACATGTCTTAGTACAGGGCAATGGGTGAAGGACGATAAAATCACTTGTCTTTGTGCTGCAGGATACGAGCTAGCTGGCGATACTTGCGCTGGTAAGATGATAATGGCCATTTTTATACAAGTGTAAGTCAATGTTAATCAGACCAGAGATTCATCGTTCAATCAAGTTATTTATTCGTTTCCGAGTATAGTTACAGCGGTTAAAACACACGCGCCCTCAAAGGGTTTTTTCTTCGGTTCAACCCTGCGGTTTGGTGGACGTCAATCGACCTTTACCATGGTTTTCACGCGTTGGCCAAGAGAAGATTTTTTCTCCGTTTCTCAGGCACTCGGGGGAAAATGTCGGCGTTTAAGTCGTTTTTGCAAAATTTTGCTACAGGATCTGACACCGCTTCATGTCAAGATTACCAGGAGTACGAATTTGTTGAGTGTTTGTCGAAGAAAACTCAAATTTTCGACTTATTTAAACACTGTAAGTTACAACCGCATTAAGCTTTCTCAATACGCGCTTAAGGATTCTTTTTGATAACGTGAAGAATTATAAGTAGCTATAGATCCTCAGGTTACAAAATTAATTTTCGAAAACGGGCTCCGTTCAGAGGAAACCTTTGTCCCTTGTTGGTTGTTGCCCCTTGGCATTCAAAGAGCGCGCGTTAGTGGTAACCGTTATAATTAAAATTGTTAATTAAATCCTGCTATAGTTAACTAAAACTGTTTTAGAATCATACTCATTTTTTATTTAATTAACCCCTCCTTCCTAAGCAGCCAAATCCAACCAAATCTTTAACATTTAAGTCAAACGCTCAACAACTTTTCTATTATAATTCATCAATTGACCGTCAGTAGTAGAATAAAAGAATACGTTTAATTTCGAACAAATGACGTCGCAAAAAGTCAAAAGTGAGGCTACTTATAATTAAAAGTTGGAAGATCTCAAACGATAACACCTCATCGAATCTGAAAAAAACTCTTGATATCAGTATTCGGCTCCATTTAATAATATACTAGCCGATTAAAAGATAAAAATTCCCATTACTACTTTAACTTCACAGAATGCGAAGCAGGTTATTACAAGGATTCAGTTGGCAATGGTCAATGCGTCACGTGTCCTTCAAGTAGCTTGTCTACTCCAGGTCAAGGCTCATGCTCTTGCGAAAAGGGGTTCTACAGGGCACCTCATGACCTCACTAACGACAGCTGTACAGGTAACTATTATCCAAAAATGAATAATTATTGTAAATTCTAATATATATCTTTAGTTCAATTAATATGCTTGTTTGAGATTCAGTGGGGTTTCTTGAACACAGAAATAAAATCTCTCCAGTGGTACATGTATATAACTTGTGGTTGTCTTATTCTGGCTGAACAAGGTAATTAGTACACTCGATTCTTATATAAAAATTCAACTTTTAAATTCTCCTACAAATTTTGGTTCTCTCAATCCAGTGACTGTCAGGAAAAGCCCGAGCGCTTTGAAAGAAATATACATTTATTTTCCCCTCTGGAGAAACCATTCGGGCTAATAGACTGTGAACGTTTTCGACAGCTCCTCCTTCAGAGCCAAGAAACATCAATATAACAGTGGTAGCAGACAGCATTGTACTGGTAACATGGTCCCGCCCAGTATCTGACGGTGGACGCGAAGATGTCAAGTACCACGTGCGTTGCAGCGCATGCTCAAATACAGGTTCCTGCTCAGAAAACTGCTCAGGGGTACAGTTCTGGCCATCACAGATTGATCTTACTACGACTCAGGTCACGATATCTAAGCTGAAATCTTCAATGCTTTACAATATAACAGTTATTTCGAAGAATGGAGTCAGCGATCAAGCTGGAATCTCGTCACTCAAGTCGTTACATAGAACCTTCTCCTTGAACGTGGGAATGGCCACTAATCCACCAAGCACATCTACAATAAAGACCGTTGAATCCCACCTGAATCTTACCAAGGCAGATGGTAAGTAAGAGAACAAGTTAGGATCGTCATCTCTCGTATGGTTTTCAAGCAGTGTACTCTAGGATAGGGCATATAAATCAGAGCGTTTGGGTCTATAATACGGTATCATTTTTAAGGAAACTCATCAGTTGGCTAACGATTTTATCCAGACTAGGGATTGTGGTATAAGGTTTTGTTTTGGCTAGACTGTGCTAGTGACCCCAGCAGTTTCTCGAAAACAGCTACTCTAGGATAGGGGGAATTTAGGGAGTTTACTCTAGTATGGGGTAGCCAAATTCAGCTGAACTAGCTCTAGTCTAGGTTAAGAGTTCCAGGGTCCCGGCGGCACATCCCCACCCAGAAATTCCTAAAGTAACACCAACCACCCCCCCGCCCTCCCGCAGTGAGACCAACGGACCATTTTATTGATAACTTCCACTCTAAGGTTTTCTCTTCTTAGTACAAATCTTCCCGTACTCAAGGAAAGTGGCAGTAAAGCAGAATTCCAAAGGGAATCCAATCCTGATTCTGAAACCAACTCGAGGCCTAATTCATCAACAAGTGTCGAATGGCTACCTTTGACGAGAAAAAGCGGGTTACCTGCTTTGAACTGGAAAAACCCTAGGGCTATTTCTCCAATGTTAATCCCACATCAGGATAAGGAGTAAAAACTCAGCTCCACCCCTACACGAGAGACTTTACAACTGTTAGTGGGATTCCGGATTCCTTAGGCTGTATTCCGGATTCCAAAGCTTAGGGCCGGGTTGTTCAAAGCTGGGTTAAGATAACCTAGGGTTAGTGAAAAATGAATTCAGATATGAACTCTTACGAAGCAAATTCAGTTTAATTCTTTTTGTGTACAATTTGATGATTGGATGCTCTAAAAAGAATACAGAAAATTATCCGAGAAAATGCTTTTGAACTAAAGATAAAGAAACCCGGATTGAAATTTAAAACCGGGTTAGCGCTAATCGGCCTTCGAACAACTGGGCCCAGGATTCTAGATTCCACGAGTAACATTTTCCCAGATCTCGCATGCCACAAGAAAAAAATTCCCGGATTCCGGAATCCAGATTCCCTTACACGGGGCGATGTTGTTGTTGCTTAGTTTGCTTTTCAAAGATCAATATTATAAAGACTGTTAATTGACACTATTGACTGTTTACTGAGGGGCACCCAACGTCAATTTTCGGAAAATATCTGTTCGCAAGACGATTTGAGATCTAGAATTTTCGAGACATTTGGTGTGAAATTTTGTTGCTTGCCTGCCTCCCCTGGGACTTTCGAACATCTTTAAATAAAATGGTATAACTGCCCATTTCTAACGGTTTTTACCCTTAAAAGGTAACCTAGAGTTTCGGGAGCCTTTTTTCTAGCTGAAATTTTCGAAAAGCAAAGTTTTGATCCCTATAATTCTCGGATCACTAGACTTTCAGCTAGGAAATCCGAACAGATGAAGAATTTTTAGGGGATAAAAATATGCCTATAAATACCGTTTAAATACTAAAATATGTTTAACAATGCTATGTTTAAGTGGTTTTAAACTATATTCTCGTTGGGTGCCCCTGTTTACTAAAAAGTTCTCGATTGGAAAAACTGGAGTTGTTCCTCGCGCCATCTGCAAAAATCTCTCAGTGTGCGAAGCCTTTGGAATTGTTGGTGTGTTTTGAAAAAGAAAGAAAACTAAGTCCAAGTTTTACTTGTTCTTATTTTACATTCTTCTTGAAACTTCGAAAAGATAAGGACAAAAATAGACTTCACTTTCTTTATTCCCTGTAGGAACGACGGCCCCTGGACAAGGAACTGCAAGTGCCAATGTAGCTGCAGCTGTTGGTATTTCTGTGTCAGTTACCTTCATTTTGTGCTTTATTGTGGCCGCCATTATTATCTTCCTAATGATGAAATCCTTTAGCAGAAAGCATGTTAAGCAACAAAGCGAAGAGAACTCAGTCACGCAACTTTTAGATATTTCGAGAGAGGGATCTCCTGTTAAAAGAATCCGATCGATGACAGCCACTACAGAGCTATCAGAATGTGACAGCAAACCTGACCTGCAAGATGAAAAACAAGATACTGTACCCGCCATAAATATTTACGATGCGAATTCTAATTCAAAGCCTAACCCTCTCAAAAACAGCGTCTGGTTTCCTTCTAAAAGGTTTTCTCTTAGTACAAATCCTTCTGTACTCAAGGAGAGTGGCAGTAAAGCAGAGTTACAAAGTGAATCTAATCCTGATTCTGAAACTAACTCCAGGCCTAATTCATCTACAAGTATCGAATGGCTACCTTTGAAGAGAAAAAGCGGGTTACCTGCTTTGAACTGGAAAAACCCTAGGGCTATTTCTCCAGTGTTAATCCCACATCAGGAAATAAGGAGGAAAAAATCAGCGCCGCCCCTAGATCTAGGAGACACTGCTTCGTCTAATACTCTAAGTCCACGAAAACCCCCGGAGGGTTCTGAAATGCACAAAACAGATCGTAGTCCTTCGGTAAACAGTTGGTTTCCTGCTGAGGAAATACAATTCAATGTCTAAGATTGACCTCTCCATAGATTTATATTTATATGTATATTTTGTTCCATTAAATGAGTTGGAAAATAAATTTCAGGTTCCGATTAATGCTTTCTTTTAAAAATGTAAATACCAGTCGACTTCGGAGATAAAATTTGTTAAAAGGAACTACTTTGGTCGAGCCAAAAAGAAAATTAAAGCACTACTTATACTATAATCACAACTCATCACACGTATCCTCGTTATCTTTACCCGTAGATGCAGTATTCTAACCCTAGAACGTGCAAGGAGAGGCGGGGGGAGGGAAAAAGCTGCCTACTATCAAAAATTAACACCTGTCGTTTTCGTTAGCTGTTCGTTTATCCTTCGCATGCATTTTGAGCCAAGTTCAGTGACTATGGTTACGAACTATGACTTTATAAGTAGTAGGTTTTCAAGCCATTTTTGATTGAAAATGCATGTTTATCAACTTGCTTTAACGTTAAAAGTAAAGATTGTGGATGGAATGAAGCGCCTGCAAGGTTAGCTCATTTGGGAAAGCGCCGGCCGGTTTGCCGAGCGGGAGTTCGCTGGTTCAAACCCTGGCCGAACAAACGTAACCCAGGGTCTTTAATTAGCTTAGAAGAAAGTACTGCCTTTGTAATGGCATCTGTAAATGGTTAGACTTTCTAGTCTTCTCAGATAATGACGAAAAACCGTGGGTCCCGTCTCACAGCACTTTCACTGATTTATTCCTGTGGGACGTAAAAGAACCCACGTCACTATTCGAAAAGAGTAGGGGGCGTAGACCCCGGTGGTATGTCCAAATACAACCTTTGCATGCTGTGGGATTGGGTAGGGATGGCACCTCGAAAAAACACAAAAAACTACCAATTAAACTGTTCAGTTTCTTAACTGATACATCAATAACAGGTGACCTTAGCCCTTTCCATGACTTTTAACTTAAATTCAAGTTGGGCTTCGTTCTTTTTAAGACTATTAAAAAGTATTATTTTCTTTATTGTAACATAATCCAGGGAATATATTACATCTGTCGTGACTAAAGGCTTGGTTACCAATGGTGGCATCGACCGTCAAAAAATGACAGATAGAAAGGAAAATAGACCACGGTGGCCCATTTTCAGTTTTCTCCCCCTGTAAGAAAAATATTATAAAAGGTAAGGTGACGCTAGAATTCAAAACTTGAAGTGAACAATATTTTAAGGGCATTAACTTTTACGCCGTTTACCCTTCACATACGAAATGCAAATTTATTACTTTACTCTTTTTCCTCTTAAGGTAAGTTTACGATGCCTGTGATCAAACTATGGAAAAAGATTTAACCAATAGTCCATTTGAAGTGTTTGGCTCTTTATTGCAAAAAAAATATAACTGCACAAAACACAACGCTAGAGACAATAATTACAGCTCGTGGATGCTAAATTTAAATTACAACTGTTATATCACAAACTGAAAACAAACAAACAAACAAACAAAAAATACGCCTTGATATATAACTACAGTGTTTATGTAACACGTGTGACTTGGTGGCCCTCTCAACAAATTCGCCTGCCAACGACACTTTCCCAGGCAAACAAATTCCATTTTGCACGCTTCTCTTCATATACTATTAAAACGTATTGGACCAGAACTTTTCCTTACTCAATCACAAATATTTCAATCCTCATACAAGGGTACGATTGGGAAGTTACTGGAACAAACCGAACAAATCTGGCTTGGATTTTATTCTGGAGTGAGTTTTTCACCACAGTACTTTTGTCGCTATTTCCTGTAAACACCTGCAAATGAGAGAGAATACACCATCAACAACAACGACAACATCAATAGAATAACCATCACACGATATGGATTACTTCACTTAGGAATTTATTGTCACGGTTTGGAAGAAGAACAAAAAGAAATAGTTACTGAAAAACTTGCAATAAAATAGGAAAGAAACAAAAACGACCACGACTTGAAAAATAAAGAAAGATGATATCATTGAGTACTGGACATTGAATACTTTGAAAGTCTTAGAGAACGAGACGGAAAATAGGCCATTTTCAAGATGACGACATTTGACTACAAGTACCAGAATTCATTTCGTTTTTGCTTTCTTATTTAAATTTGTCAATCTCGCGGGGGGATTAAAGAACAATAGCTCTAATTTGCACAAGAAAACAACAAACTAAAGGATTCTGGTAGTTGTAGTAAGATGACGTCATCGTGCAATTGTCCTATTGGAAGGGGTTTCATTTTAGTCAAAAATCAGAACAATGTTACAATAAATAAATAAATAAATAAATGGTAATAATGGCAATTTTATTTGTGTTTTTGAATGTACAATATTGTAAATCTCGCTACGTATTGGCAATTTAAAAATGCTGCTTGAGATTGAATTATTCAAAAAAGAAGAAGATTAAAAGAAAATCAAAATTGCATTAAGTCTGGGCAAGAGCCATAATGGCTCTTGGTGGGGGCTATCCCAATTCCTATTCTACGACAAAAGATGTAATATTTTGCTCTAAATAGCTATATTTATCATTTTCTTGATTATATAAAGTTAACGTTGCTGCTCTTTGTCAATGCCAATGTTATTCATCATGTATAAGAACGTGTAGTATTCGTCGGAGAAAACGCCAAGGGAGCTCATCGGAGAGATTTACAAATTTCACACATCTGTGATTTAATAATAATATAGCCTACGTAGCTGGCGGTATTGTGTGGGTGCGAGATTAACGTTTTGGCGGCGGAGCCGTGTTCTAAAAAAAAGGGAGTAGGGACGAGGCGGTTGAAATACCGCCTGCCAGAAAACCCCGGTATTTTGAATAGTCCGCACACCAGTGTGCGGAGAAACGGATTGTTCGAGGGCCATACATATGTCAATCATGTTAGATGATCCTTCGCATATATTTCCCAATTAAGGGAGCAGATGGCAAACTGGAAAAGACGTAAGTGATTGTGGTTTCCCCTTTAAAAAGAGCATAATTGATGACCAAATTGCCGAAATGGCATCTTTAAACTTCACAGCGCTGGAATTGTCTTTATTTAGCCGTAAGAAACAAAGGTCAAAGAAAATTAAAACACTTTACAACTGCATCTGAGATCAAATCCTATCAGGAACACCTTCAGAAGAATAAACCACAGGAAATGGTTACTCAGTATGCATGTATGCATGTTAAGCCTAGTGTGGCAATAAAAGGTTTACTCAGTCAAAGTTTAGAACGATACATGCACTGTGTAGTGCTAGTAACCTTCGCGCGAGAGCCAAGAAAATTAAAAAAAAACACTCTGTTTAAGCAAACTCACAAGGTCACGTTTCACATTATCACGAGCTTAGGAGTCGTGTTTAGCCTGTCAACGCTTATTTCTAAACTGTCTCGCGCGAAAATAATCGGAAGTTTCAAATTGCAGGTTTCTCTTGGATTGGCTGATTTAATTGGGATCAGCTAAGGTGACAAAAGTGGGCGGCATTCGAAAAATCATGGTTCTCTGGCAGGTGGTATTTCTCGCGGCTTCGCCGCTCGTGACGGCTCCGCCGTCAAATCTCACTCGACTACTACACAATACCGCCAGCCACGCAGGCTAATAATAATAATAATAATAACAAGTATTAACGTTTGTCTCATGATGAAATCACTTGTGATGCATATTCAAGTCATTTCGACTCTTTACTGCCAGTCCTCATTCAGCGATATATTAAGTCATCTTTTTGTGCATGCAACTCTATGATCGGTTGGTTATCAATCGCTATGTTTGGCGCATTTTGAATCTCGCATCTTCGGAGAATTGTTCCTTCGGCTGTACTAATTTCGTCTGCGGGTTTCTCTTGTTGCTGTGTTCGTGGTATCCATACTTTTATTTATTTATTCATTTTTTATGCGACTATCCCCGTTCATGTTATAAGAATGACAGAAGTCTTATTTGAACTTAATCCTCGTCTTCCTTGACAGTGTAACGTGGTTTGCAAGTTTCCTGGTGAATGTAGTCAGTTTTGCATTGGCGAGATTTAAAGGTAAATTCTTTACAACAGGATCAAGGAGCATGAACAAGACAAGTTGTGCGCAAGACACATTTATATGTGTTTTTGTTTAACCCTTCAAGCCCTGAGAGTGATCAACATGAAATTTTTCCTTGTAATATCAATTCTTTTTTGAACAGAGTGATCGTGAGAATTGAGGACATGATCTAACAAGATGAATCTTATTGTACTTCAAAAACTTATTCCCAATAATTCTATTGAAAATGTATAGTATAGGGAACACAAATGAGATTTTGCATTTTGATATTAGAGCTTAAAGGGTTAAATAAGCCTCCCAAAAGAAACGAGATACTGAACTTGGAAAAGATGAGCTTAAGGATTAATTTTCTTACCTTTTCAGCACCGTCTTCGCTGTATGTTTCCCATGTAGTTGCCTGTAATGAAAGTTGTAATTTATAGCTTTTGGCCCAGTGGCTTCCTTGCTTATGTCCTTGTGTTGCCACGGCACAAACATAGTACTCCTCGCCCATATCAACTTGAAGGAAATCTGATCTGTCATTAGAAGTCTTTGGGCACCAGGCTCCAACTCCTCTGTGTCCATTCAGTCGGCCGTAGTATGGATACAGATTGCTATCATAGTATGTGCTTGCTGTCATTGCAGAATCTGGTATTATACTCGTGCTTTCTACTCCTAAAGGGTGACAAGCTAAAAAAAAAGGAAATTTATTATTAGCACTATCTTCTATTACAGTAACCTCGGCACCCGGTCGTCAGAATAATTGCCTCTAAAACAATAAGAATTTAAAAGTAGGTTGAGTTTGATCGCCCAGGTGGGCGCAGTCCTGAATAGGACTGTTGATGTTGACAGTGACTGACGTTTCGACAACCTGTGCGGTAGTCATCTTCAGACAGGTTGTCGAAACGTCAGTCACTGTCAACAGCAACAGTCCTATTCAGGACTACGCTAACCCAGACGATCAAACTCAATCTACTTTTGAAATGACTCCTGGGTTCAAACCTGTCACAATTAAAAAAAAAAATAGTATGTCTATGAAAGCTCTGGAAATTATAATAAGAGCTTGTACATTACGCGCGTAAAATTATTTGATTACTTATTTATATCATGGGTAACAAACTACACCCACTCTCTTGTGCTACAAGACGAAGTGCGTCAGTTTTCATGGATAAACTTTTTAGGTTCCAGAAACTGCCAAATTATCTAGGATACGAGAAATTTAAGCAATAGACCACACTCTTTTTAGTAAGAACAATTACAACACGGACTTTGTTAGACGGAACACTCACAGTAATACTGCTAGCACTCGGACCAACTCTGGCCCTGCAGGCGAGAAGGCGATAGCGCTAGACCAAGAGGAGAAAAAAATGGGAGGAGGGAGGGTAAAGAAAACAAACCACAAAGCAAAACGGGTGTAGACCAACACCACCCCCCAACCCCGCAATTGGCTTAGACGGAGCATGAATCCAATCCTCCCGCTCTTGCAGCCAAACTGGACAAATGTGCTTGCACACGTGTTCATTTATACACAGAAAGCCACTACTGAGGGAGAAGCGCACACACACGCCTCAAATACCGCTCTCGCTAGTAATTGGTCAGAATTAAGGACAGTTTTACTCAAGCGAGCACTGGGAATAGTGAGGTTGTCGCATGTATGTACTTACAGCACAGGCGGCCCAGACCCTAAATGAGAGTTCTTCGGAATTTATATGAGAATGTTTAAAATTATTAAAATACGATCTAAATTACATTAAAAAAGATCAATAAAAATGATTAAACTTGTGTTTGTGTTGTGTGCTCTACTATCTTTTCGCTTCTAGAGCCATTTGGAAACCGTTCTATCGAGTTTTAGATCTCGAGTTGTAGTTACAAAAAGGAATAGGGGAAGGCTGTCGAATCTCAAGCCGACCGTCCCAACTCGAAGCTCCATAAATCCCATAAAAATGGTCTAAACTTGCAAAAATTGCAGTTAAAGGATCGTCCGATAATTTGTCTTTCCCTCCTATGTATCTGGGGTCTCGGTTTTCACCAAAACCGATAGCGACTCTCTTGATTTTAATCTTTTTCCATCAGAGTTTTCTCTCTGGGGTTGCGTATGACCGGGCAACTAGGAGTGACGTAATCAGCGGTCGCTCAAAGCTTACATCACTCGCCAATTTGCCTCGGTGCGGTAGCGGGCACGGTGTATCGCTGCTTTATTTACACAACTCAAATGGCGTACAGAGCAGTATTCTTCAAACAACTTTGCTGCTTTGGAAAAAGCATTTCACTTTCAACTTTAAAACTTCCTAAGATTTTAAAACAGTTCTTTTAAGAACAACACTTTACCTTTTGTTCCGTATACAAATTTTAAAACTCGGTGCTTTTAAGCGCTCTAATCTGATGGCCTTGTCAAAAAAAAAACTGACTTGAGCCAGTGATTTATTAACAGCGAATGTGAATGTGAATGTAAAAATGTGACCTAGATTAGTTGACATCTGAGACCGTGATAGGGTCATTTGATACTGGTAAATGGACACCCTGTTTCAGGCAGCTGTCAATTGAAAAAGAGCATTTCCCTGTGGTGCAGCGGACGGACGGGTGGACGGACGTAAGGTCATGTAATTACAACTCCCTTGGATGCATAGAAGACCAAGTTTTATTACCCATTGAGCTCCTTATAAATATTGTACAATCTACCAACAATGAAATTTCGCGCCAAAATTGAGAGGTAAAGTGCCCCCACCTTATTCAGTAATGAGAATCAAAACCCACTGGATTCATCACTTGACTTTACATATCAACCTGTCTGACGGGTACATAGATTTGCAAAGAGACTCAAGTATCCTGAAGCTTAATTTGTCCACCAGCGTACTGCAACTGCTATGAGTGGTCCCTTTGGAACACAAAGCTGTCAAGGACGGCAATAGCTATTGTGCAATAGTGACGAAAGGTTTTGAAGCTCTTGATAGAATTCTCGGGAGATCAAGAAAGTTGTTATCTTCTTTACCTTCTGTATCACAATGATTTCCTGAGAAACCTTCACTACAGTGGCATACATAGCTGTTTTCCTCGTACAATGATCGACAGCTTCCACCATTTTTACATGGAAAGTTTTCACATGGACTCTGAAAGGAAATTTACAAAAGTAAGTCCGAACTTTGACGAGGTTTAAAAATTCATGTCAGTATTAGCTGTTATGCCGACCCTCTCTCAGCACCAACGCCTCCTCCTATGGATTTAGACGCCAGTAATTTAGAAATTCAGTAGCAAAATTGATGTAATGTAATTATATTGAATTAACACGTCGGTGTATTTATTGAAATGCAATGCTGATGTATTATAGTTTTTCTGTGTGTTTGTTTCTCAGTGTATTTTGTTATAATTACTATCCTTTGATTTTGCCAATGATTTTCTGAAACTGTCATTAAAATTGATAGTCTACCCTTCACAACTAAGTTAACTTTTTAATTATTAGTTATTCTTTCAGTTCTTTTTTTTTCCCTATAATGTATTTTTACTTAAATTTGCACTTTTAAACTTTTATTGTCATTCAAAAGCAACAACATCAACAAAGCTTGCTATTTGCTGATGATGTTGTTGTTACTGTTGCTATTGCTTTCCGCGTTGTTGGAGCTTCATCCTCTGGCCCAAGAAACTCCTTTCGCATTATTTAAGTCTGGAAAAGTAAAACGTATGATGAAAACACTAAAATGAATGCAGCCTGCAAGTGGACGGCAATCACTTAAAACTGATCCCAAACGAGAAAAAAATGACTACTCCATTTCATTACAGAACAACAAAGTATGTTTTTTTTTGTTTTGCTTTGTTTTTTTTTTTACAATTTGAAGCAAGCGATCTTTGTTAGTAGGAGCACTTATGAATTACTTCTGTTTGAAGTCAGGGTAAATTGAATTGAAGTGAAACGTTTATATTGGATTGGCGTTGGACAAGGTATTACTGGCAAGCTTTTCTTTTAAAATAATGAAACAAAATAGAAATCACTGATTCACTTCATAAGCAACACTCTCTCAATAACGTAACAATTTTTTTTACTGCATGTATGACCTACCACTATGGCATAGTGATGGAATTCCTGACTCGGTGCAAAATTGCTGGACTGATTGTATTTGTCTGAAGGCAACAGACGACAAGCATAATTAGTAGCATTGGCAAATATGGCGATATTAAACGACAAGCATGTTGAATTTGTGATGCATCGAACGGCACATTCCATAAGATCCACAACGTCAAAAGAAGCCAACACTTGGGAAACATTTAAGCTGTAGTTCAAAAACGCCTTGAAATATCCATGATAGATGCCATGCCTCTCTCGTCGTTCGACCTATTTTGAAATAAAAGAAAGACAGTGCATGTTCCCTAAATTGTGTCTCAGTAAGAGAATCCCGACATTTGGAAAGTCAAATTCAGTTCTTATAAAGAACTTGCGAAACGAATGAAGTAGCAAACTCTGACCTGTGCATGCTGCTTAGTAAAGCCAACAAAGGCAAGAAAGGTAAGAGTAATGCAAACCGAGACTATCTTTAGCTTCATGGCTTCTTTTAGACGGTTGATGTTATTTTTGGCTTTTTTACTGCTTTAAAAGGTTTAATTATTGTCTCCCTATGGGTTTGCGTCGCATTCACTACAATGAAAGCAATAAATGGGACTTAAACAATAAACATTTTGATTAACAGATTTTTTCTTCTTTTTGTGACAAAATATCCCATTCAGGTTAGATACAGTATAAACCTTTGACTAGGTCAGGACACTTCTTTAGTTTTTCTCTGTCAAAATGAATGGAAATCGAGAACATACTTTCTTAGTAAAATCTCATAGACATTGTTCGATAAAATAGACGTCATCAAATTTGTTCCATGGCGATCGCCAACATAAAACAATTCTATAAAAGATGTTATTAGTAACAACAGGCTAGAGGGAAACATGGACTTCTAAGACAATTAGTGAATGGATTTCGTAGGAATTTGAAACTGTAAAGTCTTCTTATGAAATCGTATAACTGGTCAGCCAAATAACCCAGAGCTGTAGACAACATCATACGTGTTTTTCTAGACAAGAAGCAATGCAAACATTTTTAGCATAGCTGCTAATTCTTATGAAGCAAATTGATTTCAGTTGGCACCAGGGTCCCCGTCGCGAGTCCAAATGAAGAGGAGGTGAACTAAAACTGAAAAAGGATAATTGTAATTTATGCTCCTACAGGGATCATTTTAATACTGCAATTGTCTGTAGAAACTTTTGTTTGCTGACCAGCTCCGAGCTGCTCCTGTCGAGTGTCGAAATATATTTTATCGACCATGAATCGCGTGATTGAATAAACCTTTCTTATATTTATTTATTTTTCGGAAAAGTGTTCAGTATAAGACGACTGTTTTAACTTTTCTGTTTGGATTGTTATCAAGAATTTCACACTTTTACTAATAGAAACCTGGCAAGTTATTTTGTGAGATGAGCTTTAATAAACCTTCTCAGTAGGAATGCTCTCAGTAAGATTCGATTATTGAAAGCGTGTAGTTGAAAATGTCGTTGAATTGCTTGTGTATTGAATGAATGGGTAAACCAGGCCCTTAGGGTGAGGGGGAATGTGACAGGTGCGCTCGCACCCCTCTACAGGCCCCAGAGGTCCACTCTTTCTTGATCAACCATTTAAAAGAAAGTGAATTAATAGTATGTTTCAATTGTAGTTCACTGATTGTGTAGTAAAACTGAAAATAATGTAAGGAGTTGACAAGCCCTGACTCACGCTTTCCACAAAACCTGTTTATCCTTCGTGTTAAAGTATGAAAAAAGGGGATTTGGTGTGCCCACAAGGCATTTACCCCTTTCTGATTCGTCGCTTACTCTTTCATTTTGTCGTGCATGTAAGCTCTTTTTTGGAGGATTCGTAGTGCGGATTGAGAAAATGTTTTCTTGTCGTTTTTCTTTCGCTAGAAGGTCATGTGGTCTTTTACTGTACAATGGCTGCCTGTAGTTCTTATCATATCTTTGCTCTATCAAAAAATTGACCTCTGATTGCCTTCTGAAGATGTAAGAAAATTTCCTTTCTTATTTTCAAAAGTGGGTCGTTAACCTTTAGGGTTTGTTCCCATTGTTTCCTCCAAAATGTTGCATATGAATTATTATTTTAACAGTGAGAAAGAGGTTCCCTGGTGTAGTTTTGACATGCTCAATCTAGTTCTTTACCGTTGCGTGCAAGTTATGTATATATCCCTGATTAAAGCTACTATCCTCATATATGTAGTATTTATGCTCCATGTTCCTTTAGATAGTATTATTGAGTCAGTTATTGCTGTTGGTGGAGTCTTCCTTTGGGTGAGCTCTGTTTGCTGGGATACCCAATAATGACAATTCCAGTTTGGGATAAATTTGGCCACAAGAGTGGCCGTTTATTTCATTTAAGCATATCAAGCTAGGAAAGTCCAGATACACAAGAAGATTTATCCCAGCAAAGGTGAGGGCACACCCGCCACAGCCCGGAGCAAGAAACGAGTGACAGGGCAGCCCCACCCGAGGCCAAAGCAAGAGAACCACCGACAAAAACCTTAGTAATCTAGAAGCAAAATGTACAAGTGTAGCTGTAAATATGGAGCAATTATGTCATAGGAAAGGTGCAAGCTTAAATGAATGAGATTGCTTAATTGACCCTATTGAATTATAGTTCTCACCAGGTCCCAATTGCCCGACCTATGGGTTGTTCAGTCAGATTGAGATAATCCAGGATTAGCACTAAATTGACTTGACACCTGCACATTAACCAATTTAGGCTAATACCAGTACAGCGTTAATACTATTTGCCCACAATTAATAAAAAATGGACGTTCTTAAACAACTAATAATAACAAAATTGAGAATGAAAATAATTTTGAAGGAAGGAAAAAGGAATCCAGATTAAATTCAAACCTTGTATTATCAAACATAATCAATTTTCCTATACTTAAGTAGCTCACTGATGTAACTGATTAAAGTGAAATCCGTGAGATGGCTTTATTCCCTTGCACACACAGTCACAGAGAATTATACTTATCAAAAGTCTGAAAGAGCTCCCTAATGTAAGTGATTGAAATGAAATCTGTGGGATGGCTGTATGGCCCTTGCACACACAGTCACACAGAATTAATCTTTTCAAAGTCTGAAATTGCTCACACACAGAATTATTATTATCAAAGTCTGAAATAGCTCACAGACATAAAATAGCTGATTAAAATGAAATCTGGGGGATGGCTGTATGGCCCTTGCACACACAGTTCTTGTTGCAGTGAGCAGAGAGGCCTTGTGCCTCGCTTTCATGTCTTAAAAACACAATATATAATGTCCCGGATGGCAGGAACGCCCCCTCCCCAGTAACTGGAGAAATGACACATTAATCAGTCACATTAAGCATAAAACCATTTATTTCTTTCAGAAATAAATTTCCTAAAAATCACTCGGTCAGCAGGAGAGTTGCTTGCATCAGTCAACTCCAAGCCCTTTCATATTAGAAGTGAATGCAAGTCTTAGGGCTGGGGCGCTATGATGTTTCTCCCTTTGCAGTTGCTACTAGGAATCAACATCACATTTAACTTTTTTTTTTTTGTGACGGGAATAGCACAATCGTTCAGACTGGCTTAATGTTGATCGACCTTACGCAATTACTAGGCTGTATCAAGGATCGGAAGTTCTTGATTTCCAATTGGCTGCATCACAGCCAATCACAAGGGGTGGATCACGGATCCTCTTGTTGCTTGAAATACATGAAGGTACACATTGTTCCTTTTTTTGTGTAGCCCTTTTGTGTAACCCTGTTTTCTGTTGCCAAAAAGCAGTATTCCCGGCTCTTAAGCAAATCCACTATCTAAGATACATTAATCTGTTTCTGCACCCAAGTATGCTTGAGCTTGGCACACTATTGTATGATCATGATAATGCAAACCTAGCGAATAATACAAATTCAGAACTTTCTTTTCCTTCCTTTCAAAATTGTAAAATAAGGTAGTCTCTTGGAAAAAACTATCTTTTGAAGGTTAAAAGTTTGAGAAATACTCGTGTTTTTCAAAACGCCCGAAATACAGTCTCCGACGTCCTATCTAGAGACTTAAGCCACCGGCCTGGTTTGGTCTGCCGGCAGTCTCCTCGTTGGATCGCACCACCCCTCAAGAATTCCCGGCTACGTGGCTGTGAAGGATAACTTCAATTAACCCGGATACAAAATGGTTCATTTCTCAGAAATATTGAAATTAAAAAATTCAAATATGCAAAAGAACCTTATACACTTTAAGATATGATTATCTAAAAAAGGTATGAAAAAATTCATTCCTAAATATATATTCATATATTCTACCATACAAAGAACGAGGATGGTGTATCAAGTGTTTTATTATGCACTCAAAATAATTCCTAGTTTATAAACAAGCTGTAGTTTAACATTTGTTTGAATGTTTGTTTCAACTCTGGGAGAAATGCAAATGTGAAAGAAAAAAAAAATCTTTTATCATGCACAGGAGATCTAAAAGTGATATACTGCTAATTGATCAGGATAATTAACCATATGTACAGATATACAGTAGATTTTAAGTTAAAAAAGCACGAAAAACGCCAACGTTAGCCAACGTAAAAAGAACAACTCAAGTCACATTTCTTTGGAGCAAGTTTTCCTAAATTGGCATTCATAGCTCGATTTGCATAGCATAGCCCGATTTTACTCATTCAAGAGTTGACTCATCAACTCTACAGGATGCGCCAGTTTGCATATGAAAACAAAAAGCCAATTTGAGGTAACCGAGACCATACAGAAAAAAATGAAAAAAGAATAATAAAACTTTTGGATAAGCTTTAAATGTGCAGTGCAGCTAATAAAAATCGAAGAAAGTTATATTTAAACTGTCTCATTAACGAAAAATTGTTCACCTATTATATGCGAAGACCAAAGTCAGGTTTGGTGAAGAAACGTACGTCGACTACCCTTTAGGCATTAACTGGTTTAATTTTCATCTCCGCACGTTTTGGCAGAGTACCTGTCACCTTTCCATTTATACCATATCACACGATCCCAAGAATGGGAGTGTGAGCCATGATAATAGAAGCCGTTCAGAAAGGCGTAGTGGCATTCATTGAACCACCAGCCTCCCTTCCAAGATGCAGCACAATTGCCACTAGCATTATCATTGTCTTGATCTGTAGCGGAGAACGCCATACCCTTATGATATGTAAACGAATCCCCGGCAGTTCCCACAAAAGAGAAAAATCATATCTCAAAATATGTGATCCAGATGACACGCATTAAACCTTCTCTGGGAAATCAGAGGCACTAGAAGGAAGGAAGGAAAGAGGGAAGGAAGGAAGGGAGGAAGGAAGGAAAGAGGGAAGGAAGAGAGGAAGAAAGGAAGGAAGGAAGGAAGGAAGGAAGGAAGGAAAGAGGGAAGGAAGAGAGGAAGAAAGGAAGGAAGGAAGGAAGGAAAGAGGGAAGGAAGGAAGGAAGGAAGGGGGAAGGAAGGAAGGAAGGAAGGAAGGAAGGAAGGAAGGAAGGAAGGAAGAAAGGAAGGAAGGAAGGAAGGAAGGAAGGAAAGAGGGAAGGAAGGAAGGAAGGAAGGAAGGAAGGAAGGAAGGAAGGAAGGAAGGAAGGAAGGAAGGAAGGAAGGAAGGAAGGAAGGAAGGAAGGAAGGAAGGAAGGAAGGAAGGAAGGAAGGAAGGAAGGAAGGAAGGAAGGAAGGAAGGAAGGAAGGAAGGAAGGAAAGAGGGAGGGAAGAAAGGAAGGAAGGAAGGAAGGAAGGAAGGAAGGAAAGAGGGAAGGAAGAAAGGAAGGAAGGAAAGAGGGAAGGAAGAAAGGAAGGAAGGAAGGAAGGAAGGAAGGAAAGAGGGAAGGAAGGAAGGAAGGAAGGAAAGAGGGAAGGAAAGAGGGAAGGAAGAAAGGAAGGAAGGAAGGAAGGAAGGAAGGAAAGAGGGAAGGAAGAAAGGAAGGAAGGAAGGAAGTACTCACCCGAATATGTACCAAGAGTCAGCTTATATTTATTTCCTTCATCAGCAACTTCAAACAGGTCGTACTCGGCCTAAGCTGTTTGTCCGTTGAAATCTTCGAGATCCACCCGAAGCTTGCTTCTTCCCTTTGTCAGACGGTGAATCTTATCCAGTCCAAGCCAAAATTCTGTGCTCAGATTCCCGAAACCTTGTTTGTAGTCGTTCCAAACGCGATCAAAGTCAACTGAGCCATCAAGTCTTTTCTGAAACACTGTCCATCCCCCACCTGCTGTTGTTTGGTCACAGTACACATCAAAGTAACCGGCGTCATCTGGACTGACACGGTAAACACCACTTGTTCGTTGACCTGCTTTGTAACGTGCAGCACAGTTTTTGTAAACTGAAAATAAAGTTTTAGAGTGCCCGTGAACAACATGTTTGAGCAAGTGACCATAAGGACGCTAAACATCATCATCATCATCATCATCATCATCATTATTATTATTATTATTATTATTGGTAATATCAGTTGATAAAATCTGAAATTAGATAGCAGCCATGTGAAGGACATTCCACAACGGGCTTCGCTCGAGCGCAGTTGAATTGGCGAAGAAAACAAAAGGAAGGCGTCTATGGACATGCTACACATTTCGTGTTTAAAGATAAACGATCGCTCGAAATGGAGGAGAAAATCTGGAATCTGTTACAGAATATTTTAAGCGAGTTTAGTAATTCTAGTTACGATTAAATGAGTAATCACCTTACCTCCTTTAACAGTTAGCTTCATAGAAGCAATTGCCTTTCTAAAAAATTTACCCGACGACGCCACGCAGTTGTAAGTCCCCGAGTCTCCCTTTTTAGTGTCCCAGATCGTTAGAGTTCCATCATCACTGACCATAGATCTTCCACTTGGCAGCTGACTGTTCCCTTTCAACCACGTGACTGTTGGTGTGGGAAAGCCATCTGCCTGGCAGCTGATAGACAATGTCAGGTTTTCGTTTACTTCAAACTGTGCTGGCGGGCTCACAGTAAAGTAGGGCAGTTCAATAACGTTAAGTTGAGTGACAGCGAAAGCATATCCCAAGTGATTTGAAGCTTGACATTTGTACAAACCAGAATCTTTTTTTTTGAACAGTTATTATTGAGAACTGTCCACCTTTAACAAAAGCTCTGGATTGCATGAAATGGTCGTGCACTTTACGCCAGGTGATTTTCGGTGGGGGAAATCCCGTCACGTGACAGACTGGTAACGTGATATTTTTGCCTTTTTCAGCGTAAGATGGCCCAAACGATAATGAAACTTTGGGTTGACCTAAAGAAAATAAAACAATAAACTTTCTCCCTATCAGATTTGCTAACGAGTCTCGCGAAGCAAAGGGACCAAGTGCATGGGAGTTAGGGGAAGGAGGACGAAGAAACAAACAAACACACAAACAAACAAACAGAAAACTATTTAACCAGAACTGGAATGCTGGAACAAAAGCATTAAGACCCCACCAAAATATTTATAATAAACTAAAATCAGAAGCAATAGGCAACTTCCCTTTGTTTCTAATATCATACCGATTGTGCTTTTTCACTTTAAAAACAAAAAAAACATATTACAATTTATTGTGGCCTGTTGAAAGTACATGATAGCAAGGTGTTAACGACAATAAAATGAATTAACGATTAAGTGAACTCACTTTGTACGATAATACTCGTAAATTTCTCGTCTCTTCCAAGAACATTTTGCGCAACGCACTTGTATTTCCCGGCATCCACAAGTTGCACGCCAGCAATCTTTATTACACCATTAGACAATACTTTCGTTCGATTGCTTGGTAATGTTTCGTTAATCCGCGACCAAACCAAGGTTGGAGCGGGATTTCCCGACGTAGAACACGGTAAAACAGCGGCGTCGCTTTCGTTCACCCTTAGTTGTGAGGAAGAAACTGTTACGTTTGGAGCAGAAATGGATTCTCCCGGTTCGCCTTTTATTCCTGGAATACCCGGTGCACAAATATCACCTTTCACTCCTTTTTCTCCTTTTATTCCTGGTGGCCCCATAATTCCTTGTTTTCCACTTCTGCCAGGCTGTCCCATCATTCCTTTTTTACCCCTCCTCCCTCGGTCGCCTTTATTACCTTTAGATCCATCTCTCCCAGGAATTAAGTCCCGGCAGTCCATGCGGGTAGGCGTTCAAGTTTCCAGTATTTCGACAAAATTTCTTGAGGCCCGAAGTAACAACATTTTCCAGAATAAGTCTTATTTTCGTAGAATTTTCAAAAGGTTTATTACTGGTGACCTGTCTGGTAAATTGTGGAGGACCATCCTACTATTATCTTCCTTCTACATAAAATCTTTCATGGTCACATTTCCTAAACGTGTAGGTACATCAGAAAGTATTAGTACGAATGTTTCCTTGACCTTACATTATTTTCTCAGAATTTTTGAAATATTGCATATGAGAGGTTACCCTAAGAAATATCAAATTCCACGATCAATTTATAATTAATTAAAAGAACCAAAATGTCACCAGCCAAAGTCCAAAATGTGCTAGATTATTTTTTATTCTATGAAAAGTGTTTTGAGCTTAGGGTCACTGGCGGGCTTTGTGAGGATAATGGTTTAAAACAAAACTACCATAAACAATACATGAAGTCATAGAAGTTTCACAGAAACAAAATTGTGAACATATCTCGAACAGAAACTGTTAGGAATTTGCTTTCGATTCACAACAAGTTAACTTCACGCCCGGCTCCTGAAAGGCCATTGATCAGGGTTAATCAGGTAGGCTTAAAATCTAAATCCATGATTGTATTTGTCTTCTAGTATCATTTTGTATATACCATAACGAGATCTTATAGCATCATCAACAAAATTATATTTCAGTTCACTGCATGACATGTTCTTAGACAAGAAAATTTTGTATAAAGTTTGGCTTTAACTTGTCCGGTGAAACTTGACAATCTTTTAGGAACTTGTACCTATAATATAATCTTCGTCTTAGGCGATCACCAGCCCGTCACCGGCCGAGTTATTCTAAAACGTACTGAAGTGTTCGAGATGATTATTTTGAAGTCCGGATCGTGTCAATCGTCCGGAACGTGTTTAGTCGATCCAGAGGCCATCTGTACCCAAGGCTAACTTTCTTTTTCTCAAAGAAATCGGTAAAGCGCGCGAGCCTCTCAGGCCCTAGGCGTGTAGTGCATCCGTTGGTGATTACTTTTGTTTTAGCTTTGTAAAATAAACAGTCTATGCTACTTTCTGTTTTAAGTTCTAAAGTAAGACTACCTTTCCTTGACAGTGAAGAGAGGCTTTGAACATTTAAATTGCGTGATCATGTCACGTTCACGGCGAGATGTAGCTAGACTACAAAACAGTCGGGTTTTTTTTTCTCAAAAGTAAGTAAAGAAATCGGTATAGCGTGGTGTAAGAGTGTTACGCGCGCGAAGCGCGCGAGCCTCACACGCCCGAGGCGAGAGAAAAAAACCTTAGCGTCTCTTTCCAGCCTCGATCTCTGTCAGGAGTACCCAACGAACATTTTTCGCAAAATTGATTATACGATGTCGTAAACGCTAGCAGAGTGCCTTTACGTCAACCTATGTTAATATTTAACTTTCCTGGGAAAAAATACCCGCTCTTCACTGCTAGCCAGCAAGACTTTCAGAAAATAAAAATCCCAGCCAGCAATCATGTTTGACGGTTTTTTGCCAGCCAGCAAGGTTAAAAAAACAAAAATTACACAATCCCAGCCAGAGTGAAACGGAGTTCGGTGTTTGCCAGCCAGCGGTAGCAGAAGTAAGTTATGAGCCAGCCAGCAAAGTTTCATTTAACACATTGCCAAGAAAAACATGTAAGTCAGTAGGCAAGATCTGTTTTACGTCAAATTTACATAATATAAAAGGAAAGCGTGTCTAACCTGTTTCACCCTTTTATCTAGTTGTCGTTTTTTTTTTTTTTTTTTTTTTTTTTTTTTTTTGAGATATAGGGAAAAGATCAGTGTATTTGTTTAGTATATGTTATTCCCTATCCATAAGTACTACATAACAATAACATAACAACTAAAGACATTCAGCGGTACTTACAGTTTTAGAATGTGGACTTGAGGAGTAGTCTTGAGTTTTTGCCAGGTAAAAGATAAAAAGGAAGATCCCGAACTTTGTCCATAACACAATAACACGTAAAAAAAGTGATCACCGCAAAGCCTTAAGACCAATGCATGTTTTCCAACGATAATCGACTGAGGCGAAATAAAGTTTAAGAATAAACAGCATAACGAGTACGCTCGATCTACCTGTGGTCTCCTCTGCAAAATCGCCCCAAATTCAGTGTAGACACATGCTTATCGCCAGCATCGTATGCCGTGCCTACTGTTACTCCGCAAAAAGTTTACACCAGAACTGATAGAAAGTTTCGAGTAAACAGGCTTTCCGTCGGAAACTTCTAACCGCTACGGCTCAAAACCACGAACCCACAAAGCAAGGTAACGTCATTTACGCAAACGCCTGACAGCAAACAAGGACCTTTCTGTTGCGGTATAAAAAAACAATACTGTCCATGTTTTCAAATATGCTATGGCAACAGTTTACTTTTTAAAGCCAGACTGATGACGTGTTCTTGTAGTAACTTTCTCCGCACTATGAAGAGCTTGTCATCCTGAGTTTGATCTTACTCACTCACTCATTTTTCTGTAGTCAAGAAGCCATAATGATATGTCGTCAGACAATCACCGCAAAAAATTCGCAGCAAAAGCCAGTAGTCGTCGGTAGTCAGTCAGGCAATCACCGTAAAAGTTTCACACCAGAACTAGTGCAAAGTTTCGCAGCAAAAGCCAGTAGTCGTAGGTAATCAGTCAGGCAATCACCGTAAAAGTTTCACACCAGAACTGGTGCAAAGTTTCGCAGCAAAAGCCAGTAGTCGTACGTGGTCAGTCAGGCAATCACCGTAAAAGTTTCACACCAGAACTGGTGCAAAGTTTCGCAGCAAAAGCCAGTAGTCGTGGGTAGTCAGTCAGGCTATCACCGTAAAAGTTCACACCTGAACTGGTGTAAAGTTTCGCAGCAAAAGACAGTAGTCGTACGTGGTCAGTCAGGCAATCACCATAAAAGTTTCACACCAGAACTGGTGCAAAGTTTCGCAGCAAAAGCCAGTAGTCGTGGGTAGTAAGTCAGGCAATCACCGTTAAAGGTTCACACCAGAACTGGTGTAAAGTTTCGCAGCAAAAGCCAGTAGTCGTACGTGGTCAGTCAGGCAATCACCGTAAAGGTTTCACACCAGAACTGGTACAAAGTTTCGCAGCAAAAGCCAGTAGTCGTGGGTAGTCAGTCAGGCAATCACCGTAAAAGTTTCACACCAGAACTGGTGTAAAGTTTCGCAGCAAAAGACAGTAGTCGTACGTGGTCAGTCAGGCAATCACCGTAAAAGTTTCACACCAGAACTGGTGCAAAGTTTCGCAGCAAAAGCCAGTAGTCGTAGGTAGTCCGTCAGGCAATCACCGTAAAAGTTTCACACCAGAACTGGTGCAAAGTTTCGCAGCAAAAGCCAGTAATCGTTGGTAGTCCGTCAGGCAATCACCGTAAAAGTTTCACACCAGAACTGGTGCAAAGTTTCGCAGCAAAAGCCAGTAGTCGTAGGTAGTCAGTCAGGCAATCACCGTAAAAGTTTCACACCAGAACTGGTGCAAAGTTTCGCAGCAAAAGCCAGTAGTCGTAGGTAGTCAGTCAGGCAATCACCGTAAAAGTTTCACACCAGAACTGGTGCAAAGTTTCGCAGCAAAAGCCAATAGTCGTATGTAAGTCAGGAATGTTTTGTTTTGCAGTCAGACAATCACCTATAAAGGCATGTAACCTTATGTCGTGCATGCGATGGTCGTGTGATGTCTATAAGTTATAGAATCGAAGCGCAGTTGAAACAAATGTAAGTAAGATGACACCAAGGAAGGCAAGCTTTTTTTGCTTTGGGTACAGAGAGACCCGCCAAAGTAAAATAAATGCAACAATACCTTTATCAGTTTGCTTGAAGCGACCGTCATAGTAAATTTGCGAACAGCGACAGTACTTCAGTTTTTAATACAGCTACAGAAAAATTCTTGTAGTTTTTGGCAGTAAGATAAGCTTAGGCGAAACCTTCTTCTGTACGTTTAAAAATCGAGTTAAAGACGGCAAACGTGACGTAACTGCGTCCTACTGCGTATCTCGGGCTTCGCGCTCGCTTCGCGCAATAGTCCAGTTTAAACCCTGCTTGCGGCAATTTTAGGAAAACGGGTAAATACTGTTCACATTAATTGTAATTTTCTTTCATTTTTTGGCAAGAAAATTGTAAACTATTTTTTATTCTTTTTTTGTACATTGGCCAAAAAGCCTCTCAAACGTAACCATGGCCGGTAACGCCCGCTGTCAAATTTGAGGTCCTACAGCCGGGAAACATCGCCAAAAAAGTGTAATCTGAGTCGCTGTGTTCGAAGATATGAATAAATTTGCTAACAGAGCTCTTACAATTTATGCAATAAAAAGCTTTCAGAGCAAGAAATGCCTCAGCGTCAAAACAGATACTGGTATGAAACTCAAAGAATGATGGCCGTTCGGGGTTTACCCCGCTATACTACATTTACTACACAGACGTTAGCATTGAAATGCAACGGCACACTTGGATGTTGCCTTTTTTAAAAACAACAGTTACTATAACGGACGCGAAATACGTCAATATACGGGTAGTACAAACGTAAAATCTTCTTACCTTTTCCGATCCTAATATATACCTGTGCAGTTGCTAAACGCCTTCCAAATGACCATAGATCGAGGAGGTTTCCCGTCCCGGTGAGCAGTGATAACCACAGGCGGCCCAAACTCACGTTGCGAGGGAAGGGTGTAATGTAATTTACATAACATATGTGACGCGCGCCGGTGTCGCGTTACAGGCGACCGTTGAAAATATAAGAGACTTTGTATGGGAACTATATCACTGAGATCTGCAAACGCCAAATAACGTTAAACCTTACTTTTTCTTAAATGAAATGAATAAAAAAGTCTTACCTGCAATCTATTCCGCTGCGGTTTGGTGTCTGTTTGTCGTTTTACTGTTTGTTTGGCTTTATTGCGTAACCACTGTTACTCCTTTCATAGAACGAGTTCGTTCTTAGCCTGTTCCAGGCTCCGAGATAGTGGTAAGGTAAGGTAAGGTAAGGG